GCATTTTGAATTTTTTTGTCTCTCAATAAGTACGTAATAAATAATGCCTTCTGTCCAAATTAAGACTATGATAACTTTGGATCCAAACTATAAATCAATGTTTTACTTTTTTATATTTTTTATTGCTACTGGACACTGCACTTAGTTTGCATATTAAAAGATTGGTAATGAGCACTGTATCTTAGGGGATGCTCTAGTATGATGCACTTTAATTTAAATTGTGCACTTTGATATCAGTCCCGTATTTCATTAGACTGATTTAATTAATTATATATGCACTTTAAATTAAATTGACACTTTTGATATCAGTTTTACAATTTATTTGACTGATTTAACTACACATGCAATTTAAAGAAGATTTATGCACTTTGATCATTACCATATATTAAGGGGTTGGTTTAATTTTTTTATATGTAGAGTTATGTTATATCTATGATATGCACTTTATTGGATTTCATAGGTCTTATTTTAACATATATATATTACTCTTTCTTTTGATATATATTTTGATACATATTTTGACTTACTAGGTTTTAATGTATAAAAAATGAGACTTACTTGTTGTTAATATTGTATTATAATTTATTTTATATTTCATTCCAATGCATTTTTATCTGGGAATATATGATCATTTTATAAAATAGTGACATGTGAAGAAGACTCTAAGCTAATGCAAGATGCTATTAACCGCTAGTTTAATTATTCACATCAGTGCCGTTTTTGATATTTGCTGGTGATTGCATGCGCGTGATGTCTGTGATCTGCACATGCGCAGTGCGCATGCGTGGTTGCAGGACGCCGCGCATGTGAGCGTAGGGGTAACGGTGTATGGAAACCATCAAGTGTGGGCTACATAGATGTAGTGCCTGTCAGGATTACAGTATGATCCAGCACATGGAATTGTGTAACACAGAGGACTAATAGGTAACGTATACCGGACCTTAGAATGGCCAGACTAACGTACCAAAGAATAGTCAGGAATAGCCAAGGTCAAGGGACACAGAAAGAAACCCAACGATAAGGAAAAGCCAGGGGTCAGGGATGCCAGAAAACAGGGAAGTCAAAATCAATGCCAAAGTCAAATAACCAGAAAAAAATGAATCAATAACGCGCTCTCGGACAACCACAAGGAAAACCACGACAGGGCACTGAGCAAAAGGAGAACTGGGCCTAAATACCCTGCCTGTGGATCCGATTGTGTGTAACTGGCCTTTGACCTCAAAGGCAGTTACCAGGTTCCTATTTGCATGATTGCTGCTCAGCACAAACCCTCCTGTGGATTGATTGCTGCTCGGCAAAACTTTTCCTGTCAGGACAGTAATTTTGCTCAGCACAACTTTTCCTGTCAGAACACTAAATGCCATTGATCAAATTTTTACGTGCGTAATACGTGACAGTGACGTGCTTGTGCTGATGAGTTCGTTCCGGCGGGGAATTCCTTCTTCAACGGTTAGTTAGTATTTTTGCTTATTTACTTGCCATTTGAATTTTATTTGGCAATCTCACATTGGATATGAGGTCTTCAACACAGCTGTCACTGATTTTTTGATTTAAGAAGAGTTAATTTCACTGATTACTGTTTAATTGCACTGATTATTGTTTTATTGAATGGATTTATGTAACTATAAATTATGTGTGGTATGTGTATTTGATAGCTTGACAAAGACCGTGTACGTCGAAACGTTGTGTTACATTGAGCTTCAATAAATTTTTCATCTCAAACTCACTCACACTACTTGCACTTACAGAGACCTGGCTATTCCCCTCCTCCTGCCTCTTTATGTTTTGGTGGGCTACAATTCTCTCACACTCCCAGAGGGGGTGTAGGCATCCTTCTTTCCCCTCAATAGAAACATAGAATGTGACGGCAGATAAGAACCATTCGGCCCATCTAGTCTGCCCAATTTTCTAAAAACTTTCATTAGTCCCTAGCCTTATCTTATAGTTATGATAGCCTTATGCCTATCCCATGCATGCTTAAACTCCTTTACTGTGTTAACCTCTACCACTTCAGCTGGAAGGCTATTCCATGCATCCACTACCCTCTCAATCAATGTACCTTTCAACCAATCATAACTCTCCCTGCCATATCCTTTTCTTCTTTTGAAGTTCACACTGTCTGCCTTTTTAAACCCACTCCCATTAGAATTGCTATCATCATGCAAAATCTTGTGGTCCCCACTCTATCTGAATACTCCTTGACCTTTCTGCAGCTTTTGACATTGTTGATCATCAACAGCTTCTTCTCATCCTCTGCAATATTGGTCTACAAGATATTCCTCTATCCTGGTGCTCCCCCTACCTCTCCCAGCGCTCTTTCAGTGTTTCTTTCTCTGGCTCTGCTTCTTCTCCCCTACTCCTCTCTGTTGGTGTCCCACAAGGTTCAGTCCTTGGTCCCCTACTGTTCTCCATCTATACTGCCTCCCTTGGTAAACTCACTAGCTCATTTGGCTTCCACTATCATTTCTATGCAGATGACACGCAAATCTATCTGTCCTCTCCTGATCTCTTCCTGTCACTTTTGACTAGTGTCTCTGACTGCCTCTCTTCTATTTCTAACTGGATGACTGTCCACTTCCTTAAACTCAACTTGACTAAAACTGAAATTCTGGTCTTTCCTCCCTCAAGTGTTGCTACTCCTGTGTCTCCCTCCCTCCAAGTCAACGGTGCTAACATCAGCTCCACCACGCAGGCTCGCTGCCTAGGTGTTCTCTTTGACTCCGACCTCTCCTTCTCACCTCATGTTCAGTCTATCGCCAAATCCTGCTGCTTCCATCTCAAAAACATTGCGCGCATCCGACCCTACTTAACTCCAGATGCGACTAAGGTGCTGGTCCATCCCACTGTCCTGTCTCGCCTTGACTACTGTAATCCGCTTCTCAGTGGTCTTACATGCTCCCAACTTGCACCGTCACAGTCCATAATGAATGCGGCGGTGAGGCTCATCTTCCTGTCCGCCAGCACCACCCACGCCTCACCCTTCTGTCAGTCCCTACATTGGCTTCCTGTAAGATATAGGGCTCACTTTAAAATTCTGGTTCTTGCTTTCAAATCTATACATAATGCTGCTCCCAACTATCTATTCTCCCTAATACACAAGTATGTCCCATTTGGGAACTTACGCTCTGCTGAAGACTTACGTCTATCTTCTGTCCGTGCTCCCACCTCTGATGCTCACCTTCAAGACTTCTCGAGGGCTGCACCGTTCCTGTGGAACTCACTTCCCTCCTCTGTTAGATGCGTACCCAGTCTTCACTCCTTAAAAAATTATTAAAAACCCACTACTTCATAAAAGCGTATCAATTAAACTGTTAATAGGTCCCGACTGATTCCTCTCTTGAAACTGTCATTAGTCTAATACTGTCCTTACCTTTTGTGTCACTTTACCCCACTCCCTCTAGCATGTAAGCTCATTGAGCAGGGCCCTCAACCCCTCTGTTCCTGGGTGTCCAACATGTCTGGTTACAACTACATGTTTGTTTGATCACCTACTGTAAAGCACTGTGGAATTTATATAATTAATAACATAATAATAATTAGCTATATACAATAAGACAGTATAACTGATAAAACCAGACACAGACAGGATTATCAGAAATAGATTTTACCTAAGTAATTAATTTAACTTTTTAACTTTAATGGGATTCCTCCAAGAACCTATTGTAAGAGAGTCCAAAGTCCAAAACACGTCAAAGAGATACTTTAGAGATACTTTATAGTGGAAAACAAGACTCAAGTCTCACAAAATCTTTTGTAGTTTGACAGTTAGCTTGATTGATGACCATAGCGATAAGACATTTGTGATGTCAATTGCATCACGAAATTCAGTTAACCCAGTGGTAGCTGGTATTCGTAATAAATTATTTTGATGCTATAATGCCATCTACTGATCAATGTCTATAAGACAATCAGTAGAAGAATGTACAGTGACGTAAACAAACTTAAGATAAGAAATTCTTTAAAAATTGGGAACAGAGGAAGAAGGAAACATGCAGGAGAGAGATCAATAGGGTTGGATACAAGATCATCAGATGAGACTGGAGAAAGAAACACACTCTGGACACACCTCACTTTGCTTCTTTCCAGCTGAACTTCTGGGACTTAGTTAAAATTCTTTGCTAGTCAGAAATATCTCTATACATCTACACTTCTCTATCTAAACACGCATCATTCATAGGATTATATCTCCAAGCCTAAAGAAATTTCTACCAAGAAAGCTATTAAATATGCTGGAATCATTTAGCTGACGAAATTATATATCATTCAAAGTCTATTCTGCAGCTGGAATAAGAATTATGTATGATTTACTGGTAATTTGCCAAGTTTGTATATTAAGCTATTGTCCAGAGATATTGACCTATCTGAATTTAGGGATAGTTAATCTTTAATCAGAAAAGTTAATTGTCTGCAGTGTTGAAAACTTGGTTAAAAAATATTCTTTTGGTCACTGAATGGAAAATAAATTAATGACTTTGTGTGAGAAACATTGTATCTTTTTGTTACAATATATAAAATAGTGTTTAGCCTGTGAGCATTGTAGTCAGCAGTGAGTGAGTTAATTTAATTTTTGCTATTAATACAAATTATTAAAGAAATTTTTGCTAATTTGTATAAAATATTATTTTTAATATTTATTACCATATAAATATCCTCACAATGCTTACACACCAGAACTAAGCTGTAGTGGTTCTGGTGACTATAGTGTCCCTTTCAGTTTAATCTTTCAGTTTTTATTTAAATAAAAAAATATTTACTTTACAAAAGTTATATAATATAGATAAATGGTATATTATATTTAATATATATATTGGATATAGATATATACATACATACATACACATACACACACACAAAACATCCACAATGTCCTTGCACTCAAAAATGATTAAACCGGGTGCTTGAAGTCTGGGGGAAATTGCACATACCAGAAGAGATGACCAACACTCACGGATTCCAATAAATGGTTAAAAAGTTATAAATTTATTGATCCATTTAAAAAGCTGCTTCAACGTTTCAGTCCACGTCTGGGACTTTCATCAGGAATCACACATATATATAATTTTTATGTGTGTTAATGAGTAAACTTAAACCAATCGTTTAAAGCATAAACAAACACACTGTAAATATGTCCAAAAAATACCTTTATTTATATAATTATAAGAAGAAAAAAAAAGAATGTGTCAGTATAGAATGTGCTCCCAAAAAGGGAGCCTGCTGCAGACAATCTTAGGTCAAAACAGCATACATTCAAATACAATACAGAAAAAAACAAAAACCTTAATACAAAATGGGACAATACAACCAAACACTAAACACAGCGATACTGGTAAGAAAATATCAAATAATACCTAAAAGAACAACAACCCCAAATGTTTCAGCCAAATAAAAGGCTTTCTTAAGGGGATCCCCTTTTTGACTAAAAAGTGTGAGATTTCGAGCACCAATAGACAAGCTATTTAGTTTGTTTTGTAATTCGGAGTTTAAAAATCCCAATCATCTAGTAGCCAGTGACAAATTGTTTTATAAAAACAAAGGGGGGGAAAAATAAAAATAAAAAAAAGTAATTGTAACCCTTCTAAAAGAATAACAAAGGTAAAATACTTCCCTTATGGTCTCACACAAAATGCCGTATGAGGGCATGTATACTAAACTGTGAGCATCCACTTATTACCTTGCTATTGCTGCCTAGTCTATAAGAAATGCTCCATCCCATGAGAGAAAAAACAAACAAACTGAGGGAACTTGTCACAGGTTAGCAGGACTAAAACTGAGTTAAAGAATTACTTTTAAATTCTACAATTTTGGCTTCCAATTTAAAATCAGATTTTTATTAGTAATAATAAGTGTTCAGTACATATTCAATAACTGATTTTCTGAAAAACAATGGACGATATTGAAAAAGAAAATTATATAAACAATCACAGTAAACAATATTAATCACAGGCATATATGGAACAATATGATTTTGGGGAGAACAAAGACAGGTTTGGCTTAGGACAGTTTTAAAAAAAACAAAAAACATCTATTTCAGTTATGGCTAATTATCTTTCAACTGCATTTGTTTGGTCATTAACTTCAGCAATCTACCAAAATCAGATTTTTGATTTGCAGGATTCTTTATTGGAATCTGAATTAATGCAAATCAAGTGTGAATAACTAAATGCCTAAAAATTTCAATCTGACACTAGCTCAAGCAAAATTGTTAGCCTATTTAGTAGAATTTGGAATTCACTTGGCAAGGTTTCTCATTTATTCAGTGAATAACACTGATACTCAGACAACTGTCCAAATCGCAGATTACAATCTACAACCTTTCTGACCGAAATCATCATACATGGTTTTCGGCGGATTCCCTGGTTGACAAGCACAGCTTTGATGCTATATTTCGTTGGAGTAGACGTCTCCTAGACTTCCAGTTTGCTTCAAGGTCTCCTGAAGCAAGTCTTATAACATCTGAAACCATTGGGTAAATGTGAGCAATTGATAGATCGTAATTTTGTTTTGTTTTCGTTCTTTTGGAGTAGTAAGGTCTGTAACGTAAATCACTCACTTGCCTGGTGCCTTTTTGAGCTCTCTGGACAGTAGCTTGCCTCTGATCTACATTGGCGTTGTAGGACAGTACTGCCAACTGTGTCCTAGCTACCAATCCATCCATTGAGAAATGTACTTGTTTGGGGCGATATTTTTGAACATAGCTGTGGAAAACCTCTAGATTTCCCGTATGGCAGAAGTCTGCCATGTGTGTCAAATCTTTCTGAAGTATAGGATCAGTGACAAAGCTCTCCAGTTTTGAGTAAGCCATTCCATTTTTATTTAGCCATTTTCTTTTACTTACATCAGAGTCAGTAAGTTGTCCATGGTCACATTGATGATATTGACTTCCAGAGAGACATTCATGCTCATTAATAACATGATGCAAAACTGTATTCCACTTCTCTCGCAGCAATTCTGGATTTCCTCTGCAGGTTGAACATGCTGTCCACATGTGATTAATTATTGATTTTTTCCAAGGAGCAAGATCTCTGTATATTCTTTGTTTTGATATACGTGATAGTTTTCTGCGAAGCTTCTTACAATAATGCAATACATCAAACTGATGGTTGATTTTCTTGTATTTCTCTTGCAATATCTTTTGAATGCTAAATTGTTTATCGGTGACAAGGATGGCAATAAGCAATTTTTCAGCTAAAGTATGATCCATGCACATAGTGAATGCGGTCGATGCCATCGCCACTGAGGAGCTTGTTTCACTTACTTGGATGGTATTGCTCTCAATAATTTTTTGTGTGGTTTCTTCACGAAGTGCATAAGTGCAGGACTTAGCTTTAAATCCAGGGCTGTCATATTGCAGATCTCCTCTCAGGCATAACACTTGCCCCTTCAGACTTTTAATAATAAACCTTCTCTCCTTTTTGTAGTGCCTATCTACAGTGGGAAACAAAAGTTTATTTTGGAACATATAATGTAGGGATTGTGAGATAAAAGGCACACCAAATATTTCAAAAAGTTCGCTGGCTTTTGAAAAATTTGATCCACTAAATAGTATTGAGGCACTTGCCAATATATTCCCAACTGGCTGCTTGTCAATCATTGGCTGGCTTTTCCAGTACACGCAACGATGATTACTTTCACAAACTGTGTACACAGTAACCAAAGTACCTGTAATCACATTCTCTCTGTGAGTAATCGGAGAAGTACAAGGAACAGCAAAAGTGCAACTTTGAACTGCCTGTAAAAGTTTATTCAGACAGGACTCAAAAACAATAAACTTTTTCTCTGACACATAATCTTCTGGTGTGGGCTCCGCTAAGTATGAAAATTCACCAATATCTGTAGACTCATCTTCTGAACTGAAGTCTGGATCACAGAATTCAGCTGCACTCATAGTAGACTCCATTTCAGATTCTCTATGGATAGATGATATTTGTGAATTCGGAGTACAAGCCATATCTTCTTCTACTTCTGGTGCTTGTAATATTGTTGAAGGAGGATGTGTGTCCATTTCCTCTATAATGTTTTTTTCAGGGTTATTCAACTGTTGGTCTCCAGATTGTTTTTGTTTTAATACCCGTTTGCGTTTACTATGAACTGCTTCCACAGGTTCTTCATAGACACCAGTCCATGTCCAGACATCACGTTTGCTACATAAATCAATGGTTGAGGTTCCAGTATGTCTTTTTAAATAAAAACTTTCTGTTTGACTCAAAGTATTCTTCCGTCCATAGTACTGTGTTGTAGAAATGCATTTATTAGAAGTTAGAACAGGGTAAGTGTTTGTCCCGATGCTACATAATCTTTTTGCAGGCGGTAATATATAAGATTGGCCTGAGACATAGTTATGATCATATATAATAAAAGCACTATTGGCTGTGGCAGCACTCTGGGTGGATGCAACATCTGATGAATAGGTAGGTTCACCCACGTCAATAGGTGAAATGCTTTTTTGTCCAGTTGATGGCAAATCATGAACAACAGATAAAACATGTTGCTTTGGAAAAATGGTAGGTACAGCATCATTTTTCAAGAATTTTCTTTTTCCTGTTTCATAAAACATCTCCGGTACAAAATGGTCTGAGCATATTCGTAAATAGGTTGCTTTTTTCTGCTGCATGATATGCTGAATGACACTTTCAATATTCTCAAAATGGTCACCAGTAGCCAAGAGCCATGCTTTAATTTTGTCAGGCGTATTTGGAAAGCCATGCAAAGAGCTTCCCTGAACATTTTTTACGTGACTGTTTTTGCAGCCATTAACCAGACACCTAGTCATTTTGTGAAAAACTCTGTAAAAAAAAAAAAAAGAAAAAATAAATAAATAATAATACTATAAACATATACATATTTTTACAATTACATTTTAGAAAGACTAAATGTGCAATATCACAATCAATGACTGATAATGTATTTATTTTTAAAGAAAACAATCCATAATAATAAATAAATCCAAAGTATGAGCATATCTCTTTCAAATACTAATTAACGTTTACTTCCAGTGAAACCATTCTTAAAGGGACACTATGGTCATAAAAACTATTTAAGCTTAATTAGTCAGTTTGTGTGTATAGATTATGACAATCCAAGCTCACTGCTCAATTCTCTGCCATTTAGTAATTTCATTTAATATAAATTTTGTTTCTTTTTATGCCACCCTAGCCACACCTCCCCTGGCTGTGACTCACAGAGCCTCCATAAAACGTGTTTTCAAATAAATATTAACCCCTTAGTGACCACGGACGTACAGGGTACGTCAGCCAAAAAACGGTTGTTAACAACCGCTAACATACCCTGTCCATGTCCACAGAAAAAATGAGCGCTGCCCAGCCTCTCTAAGGGTATTACATTGTACAACAGTATGGAATCTGATGGCGCTATATAAATAATAAATAAAAATCGAGGAATCGTGTAATACCCCTCCACATTGCTGGGCACCCGAGTGATCGCTCCCCCGAAGCGATCATTTCTGGGTTGCCGCACATGGTGCACAGCATTGAAGAGCAGTGCTTCGGAAGCCTTCAGGCAGGCTTCCGATGCTCTGTCTGTACTGAGTGCCTCGAAGGGGTCGAAGCACTCAGTAGTAGTAAAATAAAAATTAAATAAATTAACTCTCTACCCTCCTTCCCTCTCCCTCCACATGAACTTACCAATCGCCGCCGTTCCCCCGATAGGTCTTCTTCTGAGAAGGACTGCCTGGGCGGAGCCCAGACAGTCCCCCCTCTGCACTGTAAGACCCCCAGGGGCCATGTGACCACTCTAAAAGAGCAGTGACATGGTCACAATAGGTGTCCACAGTGCTGCCAGCAGGGGGACTCTCTGAACTCACAAGCAATCCCCCTGCTGGTGAAAAAGTAAAAATAAAGTTAAGTAAAAAAAATAAAAATAAAATAAATTAAAAATACATTTATCTTATATATAAAGTCATACTAAGTGTATTTTTTATTAATATATACATATATTAATATAAAAATACACTTAGAGTAAAATTACATATATATATTATATATATATAAATATATATTATAAAAAATTAAATTAATTAAAAATAAACTGTAAAAATAATTAAAAATTTTAAAAAATATTATATATATATATATACACACACACACACAATTTTATTGTAACTGTATTTTAAAAATATATATATATATATATTTATATCAACATACACACACTATATATTATATATATATATAAATAATTTCATTCTATGCATATGTCCTTACCGACCGTGGATGTACTGAATAAGTACACCAAAAACGGTTGTTAAGGACCGCAGACGTACCTAGTATGTCCGCAGCAAATAGGAGCCCTGGACTTACCTGGACCGGCGATCCGCAGCAATCACTGTTGGGAGTGACTGCCGGAGACCCCAGCAGTCCCCCTGCAGCAGCTCCGGCCAAACCAGCCCTCCAGGGCCATGTGATCACCATGATCACATCGCCGCAATAGGACCCTAGGAGCTGCCAGCAGGGGGACTGTCTGAGCTGTCAGGCAGTCCCCCAGGCTGCTAACAAGTAACAAAATAAATAAATATGTTTTACATATATATGTATACTATATTATAAAATAATTAAAGCATTTTATAATATAATATATTATACATATATAATGTTTCAATATAAGTGTACTTTGAGATATATACACATCTCTCAAAATATATATATATATGCATTATATATGTGTAATATATTATAAAATGCTTTAATTATAATATATTATACATATATAGGAAATAAAGTGTGTGTATATAGATATATATATATATATATATATATATATATATACACACACACACACACACACACACACACACACATATACACACATATTATTGCAACAACAACAAAAAAAGGATTAAAAACGCTAACTTTGGCCAGCGTTTATGACTAAGTGGCTACTATAAAAAACTGCACATACCCCATTTTGAATACCCTGGGTTGTCTACTTTTACAAATGGTATGCCATGATGGGGTTAATTTTCATTCCTGGGCTGCTATACAGTCTCAAAGGCAACATAGGCCCAGCAAACCAATCTGCCAAATTTCAATGTGCAAACATGGAAAAGGGGAAAGCCCTACATTTGACCCCTGTAAGTTTGCAAAAACCCATAAAACCTGTACATTGAGGGCACTGTTGTACTCGGGAGATGTTGCTAAACACATATTGGGGTATTCTTCGTCAGCAACACATAACAGGAACTGAGAATCCATGCCTAAAGTACATGGATTAAATAACACAACAAAAATTAATACCCAAAAGTTTGACAAAGACTGGTGGTAGAATTAGTGCATGGAAAGTGTTAAAATACCACCATTTTAAAAACCCTAAAGGTGTCTACTTTTCAAGAATATATGGTTTGATGAGGGTAAATTACATTGGCCAGCTTCAAAAATGTTCCAAATAGGACATGGGTGCATGATGACCAGCTCTGAAAATTCCAAGTTGGAAAACTGGAATGCGCACCCTCTAAATAAGGTCTTTTAGCCCCCAGAGAACCCGACACACCTGTACATGGGTGATATCACTGTAGTTAGATGTTGCAGAACACATATTGGGGTGTTCTTTGGCATTAATACATAACAGGAGCTGAGAATCCATGCCTAAAGTACAATGTGTGTGAAAAATAACACGCAAAAATGAGTTTTTGAGCTCTGGTCAAGAACTTTATACTGTTCATGTGTAGTTTGCCATTCGGTATTTTACTTTGTTAAAGTTCCCCCCGAACGCGCGAGCATTGCTCAGTTTGGGAGGAACTTCCAAGTTAAACGACCACTATAGTGCCAGGAAAACTTACTCGTTTTCCTGGCACTATAGTGCCCTGAGGGTGCCCCCACCCTCAGGGTCCCCCTCCCGCCCAGCTCTGGAAGGGGGAAAGGGGTAAAAACGTACCTTTTTCCAGTGCTGGGTGGGGAGCTCTCTGCCTCCTCTCCTCCTCCGATCCGCCCCGTCGGCTGAATGCGCGCGCATTCAGCCGGTCGCATAGGAAAGCATTCATAATGCTTTCCTATGGACGCTTGCGTCTTCTCACTGTGATTTTCACAGTGAGAATCACGCAAGCGCCTCTAGCGGCTGTCAATGAGACAGCCACTAGAGGATTTGGAGGAAGGCTTAACCCATTGATAAACATAGCAGTTTCTCTGAAACTGCTATGTTTATAAAAAAATGGGTTAACCCTAGAAGGACCTGGCACCCAGACCACTTCATTAAGCTGAAGTGGTCTGGGTGCCTAGAGTGGTCCTTTAAGTTAGATAATGGTGTGTTTATTTGGCACTTTGTGCTATATATACTGAATCGGAACTTTTCTGTTGAGTAAATTCGTGTTTAAGGTTATTCTAGTATTAATTTCGCATAGTTCACTATTCTTGTTGTCTTGATTTCGGGATTCATGTTTCCTATTCTCTGATTGTTCAATTCAATCTATTTAGGGACTTATTTACTAAAATGGGTTTTCAGGCTGGTTAAAATTTGTTTCTTCATCGCTTTGCTTACATGACTGTTTTGCTATGGTCATTTTTATTAAACACTGTATATTATCCGCTGGTTGGGTAAACTATAGCTTGTCTCCACAGTATTCCTTTATACAAACTGTTTCGATGAGTTATATTTTTGCCCACATGTTAGTCAGGTTGGGACATCTGGTTTATTCTTATTAAGACCACTTATACGTGGATGCCTGGTAGTTGTGGAATTATAAATTATATGTACAGTTGAATATATTTGCAATACTTTCTTATAGACATCATAGGCAAGAATCTTTGTGGCCTTCCCAACATTGGTTGCAAGTTATTCACCACTGCTATACTGTTTATCTTAAGGTATTTACTGTTACGTTATTTCAATATAAGCTTGTTTACATACTGGATGCATCACCACGTCTTATTGCTTATGTTGGGTCACAGTCTATCCTACGCAATTTATACACCCATCATTATTTGGGATGGGACTTGCCTCTTTTAGCTTGACCCTCGTATGGTTCACAATAAGCATCAGTTTACTTTCAGACGCTTACTAGTTATGGCTTCGGATACGCTCTTTTCATATATACATACATATATATACACACACACACACATATACATATATATACATACATACACACACACATATACACATATACATATATATATTGTGAGAGAAAATGTGGTTTGGTAGTTGATGGCATATACATTAAGCCTGATTTACTGAACAGCAGCCTGAGGTTTGAGCGTTAAATGTCCCAGGGAAAGATGTTAGGTTTGAAAGATGCATTACTGGTACTCTGCAAACCACGGTATGGGTCCCTGGGGCGGAGCACTTGGAGAGCAGGGTGGGCCAGTGCTCCAATAGCACCAGCTGCTAAGTAACAGTCGGACCAGAACTTTTATTTTGCTTAGTAGTTTCACTTGTCTAATTGCACCTCACCTGTATCTGATCAATTAGCTAGCAGGCTTTTAAAAAGAAGGGATCAGCATGCTGCAGGGTGAGGAGGAAAAGCCAGAGGAATGGTGTCTTGCAGTTATACTTTTTGTAAATTGGCAAGTGGGAAAGCCACCCAATTCCAGACAGGGATTTGCTGTGTATAGTAAGTGCTCAAGCAAGAGCAAGGAATTTTGTTTTGTTTATCTTTCATTTTTGAAAACACCTGTATATATATCTCACCGAATAAATCTGAAAAACTGAGCTGGATGTGTCCTGGACTTTCATTACCCAAGAAGGCTGTGGTTACAAGATCTGTGACAAAATCCTACCTGGAAAAGAGGTGGTGTGTTACTATATATATATATATATATTACACACATATATATATAAAATCCAAATACGGAGGGTGCACTCCAGGGGATTTTTGTGAAAACAAATGTTACTTTTATTGCATATAAGCAAAAATACACAAGATCCCGATCAGGTAAAATCAGGACCTTTTTACTTTTATTGCATAAAGGCAAAAATACACATTTGTTTTAACGAAAATGCACCCTCATTATTTGGATTATCTACTTTATGCAGATAGCACTGGGGTCAAAAAGTTCTCTTTATACTTTAACCCCTTCAGACTGCAGGGCGTACTATTACGCCCTATTTTAGGTGGCTCTAAACGCCGCCGGGCGTAATAGCACGCCCTCTGGTGTTTTTTTTTAATTTACTTACCCGGTCGCCAGCAATCCCACGCCGGCGATCGCGGTTGGGGGGACTCCCAGGGAGCCCCCCGCAGCACGTCCGACCTCCTGCAGCCCCCCCCGGCCATGTGAGAGTAAGGTCCTTGCGAGGACCTCACAATCACATGGCCGGGTTAGCTGCCTGCTGCATTGCCAGCAGGGGGACTGCCTGTAATGACAGTTAGTCCCCCTGCTGGCTGAATTCAAATCAAATAAATGTTAAATCAGTGTAAAAAAAAAAAAAAATTATATTCTTAGATTTTATATATATATATATATATATATATATATATACACATATACACACACACACACACACACACATACACTTTCTAGGTGTATTTTACTATATATATATATATATATATATATATCTATCAATATCAAATTACACGTAGACTGATACTGATTAAATATACATATAATTGTTATATATATATATATATATATATTTATATATAATATAAAAAAAATTAAATATGTTAAAAAATAAAATTAAAAAATTATTAAAAATAATTAAAAAATATATAGATGTGTGTTATTTCGTTCTAACTGTATTGTGACATTAAAAAAAAATATATATATATATATATATCAAAATACACGTAGAACGAAATAATAAAAAGTGACTTTGTAACTTTTGAAAACACCATAAAATCTGTACATGAGGATTACTGTTATACTCGGGAGACTTCGATGGACACAAATATTAGTGTTTCAAAACAGTAAAACGTATCGTCCATGTTAGTGCAAATAATGTCACTTTTTAAAGGAGGAGACTATATTTAAAAGAAGAAAAACTACCACAACAAGAGGACATAGTCTTAAATTAGAGGGACAAAGGTTTAAAAATAATATCAGGAAGTATTACTTTACTGAGAGGGTAGTGGATGCATGGAATAGCCTTCCAGCTGAAGTGGTAGAGGTTAACACAGTAAAGGAGTTTAAGCATGCGTGGGATAGGCATAAGGCTATCCTAACTATAAGATAAGGCTAGGGACTAATGAAAGTATTTAGAAAATTGGGCAGACTAGATGGGACGAATGGTTCTTATCTGCCGTCACATTCTATGTTTCTATGTTTCACTGACGATATCATCGTTGTAATACATTTTACTGTTTTTAAACACTAATATTTGTGTTCAGCAAAGTCTTCCAAGTAAAAAGTACCTCCCATGTACAGGTTTTATGGTGTCTTGGAAAGTTACAGGGTTAAATATAGTGATAGCAAATTAAATTCCCTGGACTTTTGGCCTGGGTTGTCAGGCAGGTCCCGCAAATTGTGGTCGTGGTGGATGTAGCAATACCCAGTAACTATAAACACCCAGTAACTATAACATCAGGAAGGAGGAGCATGGGAAGGTGGACAAATACCAAGGTAATTGTAATTAATAAAATGACCTAATTATGTAAAAGTATTACATATATTTATACGTGTTTATATATATATATATATATATATATATATATATATATATATATATATATATATATATATATATATATATATACACACATACACACACACACACACACATATATATATAAATTATTTTTTTAAATTATTTTTTATTTATATATAGGTGTGTGTATATATATATATATATATATATATATATATATATATATTGTGTGATATATATATATATATATATATATTATTTCGTTCTACATGTATTTTGATATCTATATATATATATATATATATATATATATATATATACACATACACACATATATACACACATATATATACATATATACATACATATACACACACACACACACACACATTTTAAAATACAGTTAGAACAAATTTACACATATTTATTTTATTTTAGTTAGGTTTCCAAGTCACCAATTTAGCTTGTTTCACCACTTGGTATAACATAGGTCAGCCAGTATCTTTGTGTTATAGAGTATCTCCCACTAACCAATTTTCTCTTTCAGGTATGGTTAAATTTAGTGTTGAAAAATGCAAAGTTATGCACTTCGGCGTAAAGAATACACAAGCAACGTATACCCTTAATGGATGCGAATTAGGGATAACAACACACGAAAAGGACTTGGGAATTGTTATATACAACAAACTATGCAACAATGTGCAATGTCAATCAGCAGTGGCCAAGACCAGTAAGGTATTGTCATGCATGAAAAAGGGCATTCATTCTTGGGACGAGAATATCATTTTGCCTCTCTATAAACCACTGGTAAGACCACATATTGAATATGCTGTGCAATTTTGGGCACCTGTTCTAAAGAAGGATATTATGGCACTAGAAAAAGTGCAGAGGCGGGCTACAAAATTAATTAAAGGAATGGAACATATCAGCTATGAAGAAAGGTTAACAAATTGAAACCTATCGCCTGAGAGGGGATATGATAACATTATACAAATATATTCGGGGCCAATACAAACCATTGGGTGGAAATCTATTCACAAACCGGACTTTACATAGGACACGAGGCCATGCGTTTAGACTGGAAGAAAGAAGATTCGTCTAAGGCAAAGGAAAGGTTTTTTTTTACTGTAAGAACAATCAGGATGTGGAATTCTCTGCCTGAAGAAGTGGTTTTACCAGAGTCCATACAGATGTTCAAACAGCTACTAGATGCATACTTGCAAAAACAGAATATTCAAGGATATAATCTTTCAATGTAGGGTAATAACTGCTTGATCCAAGGATAAATCTGACTGCCATTCTGGGGTCAAGAAGGAATTTTTTTTCCTAGCTTGTTGCAAAATTGTGCTTCAAACTGGGTTTTTTTTTGGCCATCTTTTGTATCAACAGCAAAAAACAAATGTGAGGAAGGCTGAACTTGATGGACGCAAGTCTTTTATCAGCTATGTAACTATGTTATAAATGCTGATAAAATGTATTGATGGTTTAATGTAGACACGTATTAAGGTGTTAGACTATTAACTTTTTGCCCTCTTTTTACAGGTCAACCCGAATGTCGGTTCCGGCACACCACAACCGATTTGTGCACCACTAACATAACTCAGCTTATTGTCCCTAACCACAAATGGAAGACGGAGCCTGTAGTTGTGGGAGGGGATATTGCTATAAATACACAGATCACCCCCTCCCTCTGGGCTGAGACTGACTGGTTGACCCCAACCACCACTCCCTTTATTAAGCCATTTAAATTGGTGGGCCCTCTTTTTACAGGCCTACCCGAAAGTCGGTTCTGGCACACCACAACCGACTTGTGCACCACTAACATAACTCGGCTTATTGTCCCTGACCACAAATATATATAATGATATATATATGTATAAAAATCAATATTCTACGTGTATATTGATATAATATATATATATATATATATATAAAAATACACTTAGACATATAGACCGTACAAATAGACAGTGTATGTATGTATATGTGTATATACACACACACACACACACACACACACACACACACACACTTAGATCATATATATAATAAATATATATATATGATCTAAGTATATATTTTATTTTAAACTGTAACCTAACATTTATTTTACTATTTACAGGCAGCAGGGGGAGTACCTGTCATTTCAGGCATTCCCCCTGCTGGCACTGACATGGACGGCTAAACCTTGCGATCACATGGCCCAGAGGGGGCGGAAAGGAAGCAGGGGGACGCCCTGGGCTGCCAGGTGAGTCCTCACACCTCGATCGCCAGTGACTGGATAAGTAGAAAGGACGGCTTGGGTGTTCTATGCTGCCCACCGGCGTTTAGAGCCGGGTCCCCAAGGACAGCATAGAACGGCCACCGTCCTTAAGGGGTTGACGAAAAAGAGGAGGTTCCATGGCAAGACAAACCTCTCCATGGGGTGTACCACCGGGAGAAAGTGGATGTGGCTCACATAACAAAATCCTACTAGTGGTTGGAAAAGGCAGGACTGAAAGACAGCACTGAGGCATTAATCCTAGCAGCACAGGAACAGGCACTCAGCACTAGATAGTCTATCACACCAGGCAAGACCCAAGGTGCAGACTGTGCAAAGAGGCCTCTGAGACAGTCCAGAACCTAAAAGCCGGATGCAAGAGGTTAGCAGAAACAGCATACACGGAGAGACACAACCAAGTTGCTGGAATTGTGTACCGAAACATCTGCATTGAATATGGATTTGACCTGCCTTAGTCCAGATGGGAGACACCAAAAAGGGTAGTTGAGAATGACAGGGTCAACATCCTGACAGACAAGCAAGTGCTGAAGACCAACCCATCATGCTGGTAGACAAGGAACGGAAGACTGCGGTCGTGGTGGATGTGGCAATACCCAGTAACTATAACATCAGGAAGAAGGAACATGGGAAGTTGGACAAATACCAAGGACTGAAAGAAGAGCTAGAAAGGATGTGGAAAATGAAGGCAGTATTAGTCCCAGTTGTGATATAGTAGCACTCGGGGCTGTGACTCCCAAGTTGGGGGAGTGGCTTCAACAGATTCCAGGTTGAGATCGCTATCCAGAAGACTGCAGTTCTAGGAACAGCTAAGATACTGCGCAGAATCCTTAAGACCAGGGGTAGTCAACCTGGTCCCTACCGGTTTGGGATTTCAGGTGGGCGTTGGGAGGGTTGTGCAGAAAATGCCCAGTTGGCCTCGAAGTCCGTGGGCCAGGCCGGCAGGGGAGATCCTTTCATCTCCCCTGCCGGCCCATGCCGAGATAGCTTAGCTGCAAGCTCTCTTGGGCTGGTGAGGAGATCAAAGTTCCAGGAGAGGGAGGGAAGGACCTGAGAGCCTCTGTGTTCTTCCCACGAACAGGCTGGTCGGAGCATTGCCACGTGTTACCATGGCAATGCGCCGATACAGTGCTACGCTCGCAGGAGGACAGGAGAGTCAGCCTGCAGCCGAAGGAGCTGCATGCTAAAATAAACATGCCACCACTGGACCAGCAGGGCTTGCAGCATTATGTCCCCCCTCGCTGGTAAAAGGTAAAAAGAAGAGGGAGGGGGTGGGACACACATTAATATTTTCACATCTCACCCACCAACACACAGCATAGACCCTATGCACCCTTTAAACACAAACACACACTACTCCCCTCACACACACAGACTGCCCCTCTCACATGCACACAGACAGCCCCCCTCACACACAGATTACCCCCTCACACAGGCACAGCACGCTTCACACACATACAGCACCTCTTACACACACACAAATACAGCACCTAACAGACACACATAGATGAATTCAAGTACATATTTAAAAAAAAAAAAAAAAAAGCTCTTGCCCTATAAAATTAGTTACTGGTGGGCAGGTAAGGCAATTTTACCATCAACAAAGATACAAATGTGGGTGGCAGGTTTTAAAACGTTGACTACCCCTGCTTTAGACTCTCAGGCTTTTGGGAGAGGACCGAGAATGAGGAATAAACATACCACCCAAGATGCATGAGAAAAATCAATATATATTTAACTATAAATTTTACGTAATTGTGTGCTTTTATTAATTATAATTTGAAGGAAATGCTCTACAACCCAGGCAGACAGTCCAGAAAATTTAATTGGCAAGCCCTATATTTAACCCTGCAACTTTCCAAAACACCATAAAACCTTTACATGGGGGGGTACTGTTACAAATATCAGTGTTTAAAACCATAAAATGTATCAGGACGATGATTTCCTCAATGAAAGTGAAGTTTTTGTGTAAAAATGGCAAAAAATAATATATATGAACACTAACTTTGGCCTGGGGTTTGTGACGAAGTGACTACTAAAAAAGACTGGACATACCCCAATTTAAATACCCTGGGTTGTCTACTTTTGCAAATGGTATGCCATGATGGGGGTAATTTTCAATTGTGGGCTATTATAAGGTCTCAAAGGCAACACAGACCCAGCAAATCAATCTGGCAAACTGAAATGGTCAAGTTCTATATTGACCCTGTAACTTTCCAAGACACCATAAAACCTGTACATGGGGGTTTTATTATACTCGGGAGACTTCGCTGAACACAAATATGAGTGTTTCAAAACAGTACAACTTATCACGACGATATATCACCAGTAAAAGTACATTTTTGTGTGTAAAAAGATAATTGGTTTATTTTCACTTATCAGGAGAGTCACTAGGGGCATCCCATAATCATACTAGAGGTTATTGCTTACCATCCCCCCAAGTGGATATAAACTGAACAGATGTATCATTTTACTTTTTTTTACTTAAATAAATTCACTTTAGTTTTACATGGTGATACACTGCTATGAACTGAGTTCCGCTGTGGGTTTGTGTGGTTGTCTCCCTATCAAGCTTTGATATTGGTACATTGCTTGTGGTTTTTCATTTATTTTATTTACATTTATTTACCAGTCTGGAATTCCTTACTCTGATTTAGAGTGGAATTTATTCCTTTTCTTGGTATTACATAAGTGTATTTTGATACGAATATTGTGACGGATCGCCTGGCACCACGACTGGGTTCCTCTCCCAATCGATGCTTCCTAGTGCTCACCGAGTACTCCAAGCACTACACCAGACACCATCAGCACTATAGACCCTTAGCCGTCGCAGCTTGGCCGGGGTCTCGCCATCCTCCACCCACCCTGGACCCAAGACCAGGATCCAGCTTCCAGTGGGTAGACCTCTCCTACTCCAGAGAGTATAGCAGGATAGCTCTTAGTTAGTGATTATAATCCCAGGGAGTATAGCAATCCCCAGAGTGAATATAGCTGTCCCCTCCACACATAAGACGAGGATGTATGTTAAGGGTGAAGAGGAACTTGTTTAATGGCAGCCACAACAAGCCTTGTATGGAGGTCCCCATGCAAGGTGTTTCCTAATACATATTTCAGGGGCATTCCCCACAGGACCTGAGAGTAGACTACAGTAAAACTATACACATGATTACATTGGCTCTCAGGTCCAGGACACACCCATACAAAACAGGGTAATCCCTCCCTTTTGTCTGAGAGATAATTGAGTCAGGAACTATAGCAAACTCAATTATCTCCAGGCACAGAAAACACACAACTTAACAACCTCCCGAAAGTACCCCCATAACACATGGAAAACCCACAAAAGTCACATCCTCTGATAGCCCCAATCTGGGGGACCAACATATCCAAAAATCACCAAGATTGGTTCAGGGGTTCGGATTTCCATGGAAGTCATTATTTTGACTGACCGTGCACATGGTCCTATGCCCAAAACAATTCCAGGGAATTAGGGCTAACTGTAGGTCTTTCTTTCTGCAGTACAAAAGTACATAAATCACACAAGTTTTTAAAGGTCCCATAGTCTTTTGGAACCAGCAGGCCCCTCCAAGAGCCCGTGGCGAGGTTACTTTCACCACAAATATATATATTCTTATCAAAATACAGTTAGGATGGAATTATATATTTATTTTCTCATTTCTTAATTATTTTTATTTTAGATGTATATCTATATACATATACACACACACACACACACACTATACACTGAACAGAATTATAAAGGCAACACTTTTTTTTTGCCCCCATTTTTAACCCCTTAAGGACTGAGCCAAATGTACACTTTGTGAACAAAACAAAAAGTAAACAAAACCTGGCATTTGCGCTACATGTCTGTCCAACCGTAATTCACCTATTTCATATTAAATGCACCAACACTTATTATATATCATTTTATTCAGGGGAAACAGGGCTTTCATTTAATATCAAATATTTATCTATGAAACATAATTTAATATGGAAAAAAATGGGAGAAAATAAGAATTTCTGTTATTTATTTAGTTCTACATGACATTTTAACTGTCAATGTCATAATACTGTTTGCTTTTACTCCAATAAAATACACATATTTGTATTCAGCAAAGTCTCACGTGTAAAACAGTACCCCCTATGTACAGGTTTTATGGTGTTTTGGGAAGTTACAGGGTCAACTATAGCACGTTACATTTGAAAATGAAATTCACCAGATTGGTTGCATTGCTTTTGAGACTGTATAGTAGCCCAGGAATGAAATTTACACCCATAATGGCATACCATTTGCAATAGTAGACAACCCAAGGTATTGCAAATGGGGTATGTCCAGTCTTTTTTAGTAGCCATTTGGTCACAAACACTGGCCAAAGTTAGCGTTAATATTTGTTTGTGTGCGAAAAATGCAAAAAACGCCAATTTTGGCCAGTGTTTGTGACTAAGTGGCTAGCAAAAAAGACTGGACATACCCCATTTGCAATACCTTGGGTTGTCTACTATTGCAAATGGTATGCCATCATAGGGGTAATTTTCATTCTTAACGTAACCAATCTGGCAAATTTTAATGTGAAAAAAATGAAACACAAGGCTTATATTATATTATATGCTGTAACTTTTGAAAGCACCATAAAACCTGGACGTGAGGGGTACTGTTGTACTCGGCAGACTTTGCTGAACACAAATATTTGTACAGTAAAATGTATCACAGCAATAATATCGTCCGTGTAAGTGCTGTTTGTGTTGAAAAATGCAAAAACTGTCACTTTTACTGGTGATATCATCGTTGTAATACATTTTACTGTTTTGAAACGCTAATATTTGTGTTCAGCAAAGTCTCCCGAGTAAAACAGTACCCCCCATGTACAGGTTTTATGGTGTCTTGGAAAGTTAAAGGGTTAAATATAGTGCAAGCAAATTAAATTCCCTATACGTTCGGCATGGGTTGTCAGGCAGGTCCCGCTAATTGTAATTAATTAAAATACCTAATTATGTAAAAATATTACATAAATATATATGTAGAATTAATATATGTGTATATATACATATTTATGTATTTAGATATATATATTTTCATTCTACGTGTATTTTGATATAAATATATATTAATATCACAATACAGTTAGCGAACAAAATAACACACATCTATATATTTTTTATTATTTTTATTTTTTTAACGTATTTACATTTTATTATAAATATATATATATATAACAATTATTATATATATATTTAATCAGTATTAGTCTACGTGTAATTTGATATTAATATATATAATAGTAAAATACACCTAGACAGTATGTGTGTGTATGTATATGTGCATGCATATATATATATATATATATAAAATCCGCCGCGGGGGACTCCCTGGGATCCCAGGTGTCTCCCCAACCGCGATCGCCGGCGACCGGGTAAGTAAGAAAAAACTGAGAACTCTGCGGCGTTCAGGGCCGCTTAGAATAGGGCGTAATAGTACGCCCTCCGGTTTTAAGGGATTAATGAGCTGAACTCAAAGATCTAAGACTTTTTCTATGTAAACAAAAGGCCTATTTCTCTCAAATATTGTTCACAAATCTGTCTAAATCTGTGTTAGTGAGCACTTCTCCTTTACCGAGATAATTCATCCACCTCACAGGTGTGGCATATCAAGATGCTGACTAGACAGCATGATTATTGCACAGGTGTGCCTTAGGCTGGCCACAATAAAAGGCCACTCTAAAATGTGCAGTTTTAATGTATTGGGGTGCTCAGGGGAGTCCGAAAACTAGTCAGTAACTGGTGTGATCACCATTTGCCTCATGCAGTGTAACACATCTACTTCGCATAGAGTGGATCAGGTTTTTGATTGTGGCCTGTGGAATGTTGGTCCACTCCTCATCAATGGCTGTGCAAAGTTGCATCTCATCCAAATGCATTAATTGAATTAATCTCTATGAGGAACATTCAGCACCTCCATGCAGAGCACACAGTGTAGCAGTGACCCAGGACTCTCTAGTGGCCTCCCTGATATATTATATAAATTTTATAAGAAATGCAGTAAAATTTTTCTTATTTATGTGTATTCCTGAATTTGTTATTTATTTATTTATATATTTCTAACTTGTCCACTTTATATTGATACATGTGATTGAATCCAACTTTTTCTTTTTTTAGACATAAAGAAGGCATTTTAAATAATTGATTAAGTTTAGGTATGATGAAATGTATACTCAATGATTATGTATATGTAATTATATGTACATACATATACATGTATATATGTAATTATGTGATTTTCACAGATTTTAGGAGTTACTGGAGTTGTGATTTACATTTGTTATTTTTATAATACTGGTTAGTTTTGAACTCTGAGATGAATTGTATATGACTGCTTAAACTACTTACTAATGATCTCTATTGGACTTTGCACTATATGAACGAACACTAATGCACTCTGCCTCACAAACTATGCAAATGAGGCTTGGGAGCTGGGACCAATGAACATTCTCGGAAGGCGATTCTGGTTGCCTTTAAATACCAGAAACAAAAGATATACAACACTGACGTCCGGAGGAAGCCTACGGCGAAATGCGTAGATGTGTTGACGCCATATGGTGGGCGGATGCAGATCTCAGACCCGCGAAGCACTATATTGAGAAAGCAGCAATGCTTGGTATCCGGTCGGACCTGCCAGACGATCATCTTACTGGAGCCTGGATCTTTACATCAAACAGAGACTCCAGCCTATTCCTGAGTGAACAAAAAGCGCTCATGAGTAGCAGCATTAAGCTGCATACACTCACCTCCTTACAAACCTGTAAGGGGTCGATATTTACAGCAATATTAGCAGTTCATATGAGCATTACTCAGAGTTTATTTGTATTTGATATATTGACCATATATTTATCATATTTTAATTTTACAGTTGTTAATAAATTCTACTCATTTTAATACACTATATATTTTATATTTTGTCATCTTTGATATTGATCTACATTTAATTTTTTATTGCATTAAGGGACTGTAGGATCTATCTATATATATATATATATATATATATATATATATATATTATCCTATTATCCACTTATCCCTATGGTACTTCACTTCTCACTGTATTTAGTATTTTTAACCCCTTAAGGACACATGACATGTGTGACATGTCATGATTCCCTTTTATTCCAGAAGATGACATGGCTCTCCAAATCAATACAGACTGTGGAAACTTCCCACTAGACTTCAAGCATCTTGCAGTGTGTGCCTCTCCATTCTTCTGCCAGACTCTGGGTCCTTGGTTTCCAAATGAGATGCAAAAGTTGCTCTCATCAGAAAAGAGGACTTTGGACCACTGAGCAACAGATAAGGTCTGTTTTTCTTTAGCCTAGGTAAGACGCTTCTAACGTTGTTTGTTGTTCAGGAGCGGCTTGACAAGAGGAATACGACATCTGAAGCCCATGTCCAGGATCCGTGTGTGTGTGGTGGCTCTTGATGCACTGACTCCAGCCTCAGTCCACTCCTTGTGAAAGTCCCCGACACTTTTGAATGGCCTTTTCCTGGCAATCCTCTCCAGGCTGTGGTCATCCCTGCTGCTTGTGCACACTTTTCCTTTCACATAACTTTCTATTAATGTGCTTTGATACAGCACTTTGTAAACATCCAACTTCCTTCGCAATTATGTTTTGAGGCTTTCCCTCCTTATGGAGGGTGTCACTGATGGTTTTCTGCACAACTGTCAGGTCAGCAGTCTTCCCCATGATTGTGATTCCTACTGAACCAGACTGAGAGACCATTTAACCCCTTAAGGACACATGACGTGTGACATGTCATGATTCCCTTTTATTCCAGAAGTTTGGTCCTTAAGGGGTTAAAGGCTCAGAAACCCTTTGCTTACTTAGCTGATTAGAGTAGGACACTGTGAGCCTAGAATATTGCACCTTTTCACAATATTCTAATTTACTGAGATTGTAGATTTGGGGTTTTCATGAGCTGTAAGCCATAATCATCACACTTATGACAAATCACGGCTTGAACTATCTTGCTGTGCATGTAATGCGTCTCATATATTAGTTTCTCCTTTTACGTTGCATTACTGAAAATTAATGAACTTTTACACGATATTCTAATTTTTAGAGTATCACCAGTATGTGAACCTGATATCCAAGAAATTTTGAGTTAGCACTCCACCACGGTATGTATATATTTCTTTATTTAAGAAAGTACATACCAACACTCTTTACTAGCGGTCATTATTTGCCCTGGTTGAATAGTATTCCCAAAACTCGACTAAGTAGATTAAAAATAAATTGTACAAATCCAGAAGTTTTAAAGAACAAACTAATAGTCTAAAAAATAAATCTGTTGAAAAAAAGATATGACATAGTTAAATCAAAACTTTAATTAAAAAATATTGGAAATACAGACAGGGAAGGCCTCATACAAAAGATTTGAACACTTTGAAACAGATCTCACTACCTGCCTGAAAAGAATGCTGATTTTTATAAAGCTCTTAGAGAGAACTTAACTTAAGCAGGATTTTTGAGTCAGACCTGGAGCATAAAGATTTGAGCACTTTGAAACAGATCTCAGTAACTCACTGCAAAGGATGCTGTATTTTACAAAGCTCTGACAGAATTTATCATAAATGCCTCAGTCTTGGGAGTAAAACAAAAACTTTAATAGAGATCTCACTACCTGACTACACTGTTTTGCTAACAGCTCAGATTTTTGTAGCAAAAGCAATGTTTTTTTGTGTGTGTATAGAACGGATTAATAAAGATATTATATATCTATATCAGTTAACAGTTTTTTGCCCCTAACAGAGTCTTTCAATGCCCATGTAGCGGAATGAACCTTTAGACATTACACTTTATTCCTTCTGTGGGCTGTCTGTATATTTCCCCCTGTTATTTTGTATGTTTTTACTTATATTGCAACGCAATATAAGTAAAAACATACAAAAAAACAGGGGGAAATATACAGACAGCCCACAGAAGGAATAGAGTGTAATGTGTGTGTGGGACAGATGTCCCTATCCCTGGATTATCCAGCTCTTCACCGTGTTCACATGGTTGTACATAAATTGCATTCACCTCCCATCGTAATAGCATTCTGTTCGACAACCGAACAAATCACTGAACGCCAGACCACCCATCTGTGGAGTATGCCGCTTGTTAACCCCAGTAACCTTTGTTCACACCTCCATAAACCGCAAAAACACTACCATTTTAAGCAGTCGGCTGAGTGGCCGCCATTGGTATACGCGAACACGTGGCGGTGGCCATCTTTAACCATGAACAAAGACAGCAGTGTTTGGTCGTTGAGTGTGTGGAACTAAAATCGGATACTTGACGGCACGAACACCGCTGGGACTTCCACCTCCAGTTCTGTTCAGCAGATTTCATACGAACAGAGTGGCGTTCGGGGGGAGCATACTCTCGAACAAGATACATAGGATGAGCGTACGCACGAACAGTTCATTCGTTATTTTTTGTATGTTTTATACCCCCGAAAGAGACTGACCTCACAGCCTGATTTCATGGAACTCTTTTGGGCAGGTGCCTTTGAATGCAGTCGGTCTAAATTATACCCCTGTAGCGTTTCAGTTGCTTTTGTGGGATCTGAGCGCTTTTCGGATATGTTGGGTGCTTAGATCCAGGCTATCCGGAGATATTAGACTTGAGGGGGTATCTTGTTGCCAATTATATGTTTTGGGGTGTTATTACCATATATGTCCTGGACCTGAGAGTTAATATAATTGGGTTGTGTATTTTATCTTAGTCTACTCTCAGGTCCACTAGGGGAATGCCTCTGAAATGTGTATCAGGAAACCCCTTGTATGGGGATTGACATAAAAGGTCGTGTGTCGCTTAATTAAAACCAGTTATATGCCCAGAGCTGAGTGTCGTCCAGTTGATGGGGAGGAGGTGGGAGATTCATGGATTATTCTACTGTGTTTGGCTGTCCCCTTGGACTACTTTACTTGTCCTAGAGTATATTTTGGAGTAACCAGCGGAGGTCCGCTACAGCCCCGACAGAGCCTTTCAATGTCCTCTGACAGAGCCTTTTAATGTCCCTACCTAACAGGACTGTCAATGTCCTTAACAAAACAATTTCAATGACAATAACAGAGCTTGAACTTTCAGGTCCACTCTCTATCACTCCTCTACCACGAGTGACAGGAAATGGCTGACAATCGCACTCCCGCGATCCCTTCCGGGAACAGCAGGTAGCGGTGGCCATCTTGGATGTGGCGTATTTCTGGGGAACCCCAATTTTGTTCCGCGGAACACCAATTGGAAAACACCGGCCTAAGCTATATGGATTCAGCAAAACCTATTTTGCTCTATACTCGTAAGTCGTTTTCAATTTAGTTGCACTTACTTAGATCACAGTGTGCACTATATGTTTGTCTCTGTTCTCTTCCATATATACACACCATGAAGAAGCGTGTCAGCTAATAAACCTAGAGTGGGGATTATACCACTTAAAGCTATCAAATAGGAGCCATTCTAGAGGTTCCTATTCATGTGAGTGCAATTTCATTTTATATTTGCTCAACTAACATCATCTGAATATACAACACCATATGGTCATTGTTTTATTTCTATTATATACTTCCTGGAGCACCTATCGGGACCAAGAGACAACATAAGCATCCTTAAGCAGGGATTGTATGGCTCACATGCACATAAGTGGAGCTATTTGGTAGCTTCAAAAAGCTTTAAGTGCATCTTTCTTTATATTCCATACTACACCACATACTTCTCCATTGTCCCACCTATCTAACATCTGAAAACACCTGAAGGCGCTACTACCAGTTCCTATTGCAAGTATCTTCATATGTCTGGAGCAGAAAAATTCTGGCCTGGGCTGTTAAGCTGCTTTCACATTTCTCCAGCTAAACCTTCCCACGTACACAAGAAAGTAGTTAGTAGCATTGAGGAAATTGTGGGAAATTGCAGCATTGTGGGAATTGGGGTAACATGGTGAGGTTAGCAGATGTACCAAAATAAGAACAATTGGTAGGATCACGAGAGTTGTAGAACGGGTTGTGCATTGTGGGTGTAGGGCAGTAGCAGGACAGTGGGAGTTGGGATAGATTAGACTGGGGCAGGATAGTGAGGGTTGAGGTAGAGCAGGCTGGGGCAGGATAGTGAGGGTTGAGGTAGAGCAGGCTGGGGCAGGATAGTGAATGTTGAGGTAGAGCAGGCTGGGGCAGGATAGTGAGGGCTGAGGTAGAGCAGGCTGGGGCAGGATAGTGAGGGCTGAGGTAGAGCAGGCTGGGGCAGGATAGTGAGGGTTGAGGTAGGCAGGCTGGGGGCAGATGAAGTGAGGGCTGAGGTGCAGAGCAGGCTGGGGGCAGGATAGTGAGGGCTGTGAGGTAGAGAGCGAGCTGGGAGCAGGACAGAGTAGAGGTTGAGGTAGAGCAGGCAGGGGCAGGATGGCCAAGGGTCGGTAGAGCAGGCTGAGGGAGGTAGGATGAGTGGGGCCTAGGTAGAGCAGGCTGGGGCAGGATAGTGAGGTTGAGGTAGAGCAGAGCTGGGGCAAGATAGTGAAGGTTGAGGTAGAGCGAGCTGGGGGGGGCAGGATAGTGGGGGTTGGTAGAGCAGGCTGGGGGCAGGATGGTGGGGGTTGAGGTAGGCAGGCTGGGGCAGGATAGTGAGGGTTGAGGTAGAGCAGGCTGGGGCAGGATAGTGAGGGTTGAGGTAGAGCAGGCTGGGGCAGGATAGTGAGGGTTGAGGTAGAGCAGGCTGGGGCAGGATAGTGAGGGCTGAGGTAGAGCAGGCTGGGGCAGGATAGTGAGGGCTGAGGTAGAGCAGGCTGGGGCAGGATAGTGAGGGCTGAGGTAGAGCAGGCTGGGGCAGGATTGTGGGGGTTGAGGTAGAGCAGGCTGGGGCAGGATAATGAGGGTCGAGGTAGAGCAGGCTGAGGTAGGATAGTGGGGCCTAGGTAGAGCAGGCTGGGGCAGGATAGTGAGGGTCGAGGTAGAGCAGGCTGAGGTAGGATAGTGGGGCCTAGGTAGAGCAGGCTGGGGCAGGATAATGAGGGTCGAGGTAGAGCAGGCTGAGGTAGGATAGTGGGGGCCTAGGTAGAGCAGGCTGGGGCAGGATAATGAAGGGGTGGTAGAGAGCAGGCTGAGGTAGGATAGTGGGGGGGCCTAGGTAGAGCAGGCTACAGGGCAGGATGAGTGAGGGCTGAGGTGCAGAGCGAGCTGGGGCAGCATAGTGAGGGCTGAGGTAGAGCAGGCTGGGGCAGGATAGTGAGGGTTGAGGTAGAGCAGGCTGGGGCAGGATAGTGAGGGCTGAGGTAGAGCAGGCTGGGTTAAGATAGTGAGGGTTAGGTAGAGCAGGCTGGGGCAGGATAGTGAGGGCTGAGGTAGAGCAGGCTGGGTTAAGTTGGTGGGGGCCTAGGTAGAGCAGGCTGGGTTAAGTTGGTGGGGGCCTAGGTAGAGCAGGCTGGGGCAGGATATTAGGAGTTGGGGTAGAGTAGGCTTTGTGAGGATAAGGGGAGTTTGGGCAGGATAGTGGGAGTTATGGTAGATAGGCTGGGACAGGATAATGTGAGTTGAAGTGGACTGAATGGGATCATGGGAGTTTATTAAGTAGACTGGACTAGGGAGGGATAGTGGGGGCTGTAGCAAGATATAAGGAGTTGGGGTAGAGGGGCTGGGACAGGATAGTGGGATTTGGGGTAGAGGGGCTAGGACAGGATAGTGGGAGTTGGGGGTAGAGGGGCTTGGACAGGATAGTGGGATTTGGGGTAGAGGGGCTGGGACAGGATAATGGGAGTTGGGGTAGAGGGGCTGGGACAGGACAGTGGGACTTAAAGCAGACTGAGATAGGAGAGTGGCAGTTCAAGAAGACTTAGCTACGGGAAGTTTAAGGGATCTCAGGCATATGTGCTGGATAAGGTTAGGAGGATTTATGGTAGATTGGGCTGGAACAGGACAGTGGGAGTTGTAGTAGTCTGATGCAAGATAGTGGGAGCTGAAGTGTTTATGGGGTTTGGGGCAGGATAGTGGGAGTTATGGCAGGAAAGCTAGATATGAGGTAGAGTTGGCTGGGGAAGGATATCAGGAGTTGCAGTGGAGTGGACTTAGGCAACACAATGAGAGCTGAGGGATAATGGGAGTTGGAGTACAGTGGGTGGGATAATGGGACTTGGCGTTATTGTCTGCTCCACAATTAGCAATTCGCCCACAGTTTCTGTCTGCCCAGACCTTCCCTAGCACAGTGCTGAGCTCCAGAGGTTTATTACCTGCCTTTCTCCAGCAAGACACCACACCGGCAGCAGCATGAATGGAGGGGGCTGGGGACATGCGATGGCAGCCAATCCCTGCTCTCTCTCACATGATGCACTGCCTCCTGCCGTATGTGTGTGTGACTGGCTACAGGAAGCAGAGGCAGAGGAAGGCTGGAGGCTGCAGGGTCCTGTCTCCCCTCTCGTTACATTTCAGAAAAGAAGCTGCATGGGGAAAGGCGGGAATCTACACACTTGGTTCAACCCATACCATACACACATCATTGTTTGGCGAGATTCATACTCTTAGTTGTGCAGACGGCATGCTTCTTGTTGTCATTTAATTGTTATTTATTATACTGCTGAATTGGAAATATACTAAAGGGGGCACTATAAGCACCCAGACCACTTGATCTCATTGTAGTGATCTGGGTGCAGTGTCCCTGTCCCTTTAACCTTGCATGTAAAACACTGCAGAGTGAGAGAAACTGCAATATTTCCATTGCAGGGTTAACACTGCTTCTAATATACCCTACTATCCCCCCACTAGGCACATGGCCCAAAGTTTCGGCCCTTATTAACTATAACGGGTGCCCTTAAAGGGACTATCCAGTGCCAGGAAAACAAATGCGTTTTCCTGGCACTGTAGTGTCCCCTCCCCGCGACCCCCCCACCCCATGTTGCTAAAGGGGTTAAAACCCCCTGAGTGCCTTACCTGATTTCAGTGCTGTTGTCCCTAAGCACTGGGTCAGGCTCCACCGACGCTCCTCCGCCGGCCAGCGGGGGGATACCGCATGCACGGCAATGGGCGTTGCCGCGTGTGTGTTTTAGACCTCCCATAGGAAAGCATTATTCAATGCTTTCCTAAGGGGATTTTGGAGACACTTGAGGTCCTCGTACACAGCGTGAGGATGTCCAGCGTCGTTTAAAACACTTTTCGTGTTTTAAGAACACGGAAGTCCTTCTAGTGGCTGTTTATAAAACTGCAATAATTACACTTGCAGGATTAAGGGTGATGGGAGTTGGCACCCAGACCACTCCAATGGGCAAAAGTGGTCTGGGTGCCTGGAGTGTCCCTTTAACTTAGCTCCCCAGATGTTGTAGAACTACAACTTCCATGACGCTTTGCTTTGCATGCCTTTAGAATGACAATGCATCATGAAAGCTGTAGTTGTAAAACATCCGGGGAATTTACCTTTTAGGCACCCCAGAACTATAAAATAAGAGGTGGACATGCCATTGTCCAAGCCCCCCAAATAAAAGGATATCCCTCCCAGGTGGCTTGGGTCCCCAATCCCCTAGCACCCCCTAAAAATAATGTAAGCCCCTAAAAACTTCCACTCACCCTTATACTAGTGAGGGGGGGGAAGGGGGGCAATAAATCAAAAAACACATTAAAAAAAAAAAATCAGAAGTCTTCTTTCTTATAATTATTCTTTTCTTCAGCCCAAATAAGGCCAAAACAAAATCCAGAGTAACCAACTCTACTAATTTTTTTTTTAAAAAGACCCCATCGACAAAAAATAACACCAGAAAAAATCAAAAGGAAAAAAAAAATACTGACACACAAACTGCCACACCAACACAGATAAACACACACTGATGCACACATACAAAAGTCATACTTTTCATATTTTTAGCCAACTTCCTGCTTCCATAGTTTTTGGGTCAAGAGGGTGGCTTCCTGGGGCTGTCTGAGGTTGATGGGAGTCTGTGTCAATGCTCTCTCCTTGTCCTCTTCCACATCCAGTGATTTCTCTTTCTCCCGTGCGGATCTCTGTATACTGGGAGGAAGTGACCTTTAAACTTCAGCTTGAACAGGGACCGGCGTACTATTGAAGGGCCGTTGCGCCCACCCAGTCCCTTTTCTCAGAGAACCTCAACGAGTGGACCCAAGTGTGAGGGCCACCAAATATGACCCCTCAGTTTGAAGCCCATGGAGCAGCTTCACTAGCAGAAGTTCCACCCCTGAAACTAAAAAAAGATCCGGGCTATAGGGCCCCACATTCTGGGCTCTAGCGCCCACCCAGCCCCATCGATGCCCGTCTTGAGAATTGTCTGGAATTCACAGTTAATTTCAAATTTAAGGCCTATATATATAAAAACTGGACACATAGCTGACTTTAAAAAAAAATTCCAATCTGGCTGCTTTGACCTTAAATTTTACACTCACTTTGAATCCTCACTTTAGTGAATAACCCTGAACAACTGTTTCCTAAAAATGTAGGAAACATATTCCAATAAAGTTTACTTATTAAGCACATAATAAAAAAAAAATCATAATAAAGAACAATTAAGGATTTAATTTAAAAAGTTAATTAATTAATTACAAAATAAACATATTTGGCAGAAAAAATAAATCACAATTTAGTTGAAATACCCTCAATGAAAATATGCATATATTTTATTCAATTGGGGTTATATGTAAAAAAAAGTTTGAAAAACATCTTTTGTCTGCAGCCTTTGCAAGCTCTCCTCCCCCATCCCCCTTTTCCCTCTAGCGTCTGTGCTAGGTAAATAACCAATTAGAACCATCTCATTGAGAAGCCTCTGACTGTGAGCCGTGCAGGACAAACTACAATGAATATTAGCATATCTGAAGTGCTGTGTGTGGTGTTCCTTTAAATCAAAGAGTCAGTTATTAAGAAAAAAAAAAAGGCTACTTACTAACTATTTGATGGCCAATTGATCTCCCAGACAGCTGGCAGATATCTCCTGCTAAGCTTCTATCTTCAGCCAGTGCCAATACTGCATTGAAATTGGTATCTCTCCCACACTATGGCTCTGGACATAGAAACAGGGCTCAAGGGTTAATACAGGTCACTGCAGTCACGTTCACAGTTCCTGCAGCGTTCTAATGCTACGTTTGTTGAATAAACGTCTTCATGCAGAGCGTGAAGACACGGAATGCAAAGATTGCAGGACTGCAATGAGGAAGTGCCTGCCCCTAGAGGTGTTTCCAGGGAACAAAAAAAAAAAAACGTGTTATCTCTGAAAAGGCAGAGTTTACTTTTGAAAGACTGCAGGGACTCTTTGTCCCTGAACCACTACATTAAGCTCTAGAGCAGGGCTGTCAGAAATACGGTCCATGGAGCCCGCAAAGTATGCCAGCAGCAATAGCTGGCTGTTTCCCTGAGCAGCCGCAGTGCTGGGACAAAGTGATAAACAATGCTTCCTCCTGGCTCCAAGACAGCAGCACAGGGGAGCAAGAAAGTAGGCAGGAACTGAGTACCAGTGGTTGACACCAAAGACCTGCATGTAGGAGAGAGGGGCAGAGTGTTGCTGTGTCTTGGGCCGGTGTAAAGCCTGGCTGCAGAAAAGAGCAGGCCGGGGACTCAGTTAAAGGACCACTCTAGGCACCCAGACCACTTAAGCTTAATGAAGTGGTCTTGGTGCCAGGTCCTTGTAGGGTTAACCCATTTTTTAATAAACATAGCAGTTTCATTGACAGCCACTAGAGGCGCTTGCGTGCTTCTCACTGTGATTTTCACAGTGAGAGCACGCCAGCGTCTCTAGGAAAGCATTGTAAATGCTTTCCTATGCGACCGGCTGAATGCGCGCGCAGCTCTTGCCGCACGTGCGCATTCAGCCGACGGGGCGGAACGGAGGAGGAGAGCTCTCCGCCCAGCGCTGGAAAAAGGTAAGTTTAAACCCCTTTCCAGAGCCGGGCGGGTATGTTTTCCTGGCACTATAGTGGTCCTTTAAAGACTTACATCTGCTCTCTCATAATGCCCTGCATACTGTACTATGAAAGACTGTGAGGAGCAGTCAACTACATACATTGTGAGTGTGTCATAGTGTGTGTGTGTGTGTGTGTATGTATATATATATATATATATATATATATATATATGACTCGGTGTCTATGTGTGTCAGTTTGTACGTGAACCTATGTTTGTATGTAACTGAGTATATGTGCATATCTGTGTCTATGTGTGTATATGTGTGTGTGTAGCAGTGCATACATCCCAGTATTCAAATGCCAACATTGTAAACAAATACACCCCTGTATTCAAACACCAAAAATGCACACAAACACACCCCTGCATTCAAAGATGCAAATACAGCCCTGCATTCAAACGCCATTACCACAAACACACCCCTGCATTCAAATGGCAACAATACACACACATACAACTGTATTCAAACATCAATTCTATTTTTTATTGTTGTAAGATAGTAATACATTGCATTTTTGACATTATGTGAATTTGTTCTCTGTGCCCAATTTTTTTCTTGTTTGAGCACATGTGTCTATCTATATACATGAATAATAATAAATCTAAAATAAATATAAATGCATTTGGCCATCCATACCTATTTCAGTGGACAATGTGGCCTTCCAGAACAAATTAGTTTGACAGGGGTTCTGGTGCTCAGAGTTTAGGGGTTAAAATGAGTGATTTTAATTTTATGGATCTTTGGATTAGGTATTAAGAATTAGAGATTTTCATTTAATGATTTTGGTTTAGGGATTTTAATGTTTAAAATGTAAAGAATAAGTGTAGGTGTCATGGGTTTGGGCTTAATGGGCTCAGTGTGCAGAGATTTGAACAAAGCAAAGTCACTTAATATAAAGTCTGAGTGATGAAACAAATAACAAACTGGAAAGTTCAAGGACAAAACCATGTACTGCAAGGCCATGACCAGAAACACAAAGTAAAATCTTATTTGGACATGCCGGTAGAATCAGCAAAACAAAAGTAAAGTCTATGGTCAAGGTTCACCAGGAAGTCCAGGACAGGATCAGGTAAACAGAAGTTAACCAAAATATGTTCAGATAGGCAAGAGTTAAACAAGGCTAGTTCAGGCAGGCAAGGGTTAACCATGGCAGGTTCAAGCAGGAAAGTGTTAACCAAGGCAGAGAAGGCTTGTAAACTCTAGGGAGTTCACAAGACAACTGAACTAAGAACCCAGGGTGGTCTGGGATTAAATGGGTGAGAACAAATGGGAGCCTCTGAGCCTATATAAGCCTATATAAGCAAAAAGCCCCTCTAGAATAATAGGCGTCCATGTGCGCACGATGCTATGTCCGTTTGACCACTCAACTGGTTGTTCCCCACACTGCTCCTGAATATGCCACCACGGAACCCCAGGGCTCTCACACCCTAAAGGGATCATAGGGCAGTTTGGGGGACAAAACATATGAGCAGCAAAGGATGCCTGCCGGCGGAGAGGCGGATCAAACAGCAAACAAGAGTCGCCTCCTCTCCCATGCGTGAAGTGGCTGCCTGGCCAGGAGTATGTGCGGTGCACCACCCTAGAACTAAAGCATTTCCTGTCGGCCAGGAGTAGAGTCAGATTCGCCCCTGGGGCTTGCCATTGCCATAGAAATGTTAAAGTGGCACTGTGATTATCCTGGGATTTTGCAGAATTTGCAAAGATCCTCGATGGTGACATCACCCTTGTGGCAGTAAGATTTACTTACCTAAAACTGTCCCACCTTGCGGGTCTTCTTTAGCTCCTGGCACTTCAGCTCCAGAAGCCGACATTCCTACTGAACATAGCAGTCTATGGAGGATCCCGCGAGACCATAAATCCTCCACAGATAAAGCCAATTCCCTGCAGCAGTCAGGTAATTGACTCTTCTTGCAGGCGGTAGCTCCACCCAATGTCTAGAAGTGTCATGCATAGGAAATATACAAAGATAAAAGAGTCCCTACTTTGTCTCAGTACATATCTTGACTGGATTCCAACAAAGTTGGAGACATGATGGTGCCTCTTTAATAATATAGTGTGCACCTGCTGTGGGTATGGGGCCAGCGAAGGGAGGTCTAAGGAGCAGTCACAGCCAATTTCTCCCTCGCCATAGGTTACCTGACACCATATCCTGGTGGCCAAGACTCTGTGGATGGAAAAGGGCAACTTCACACTTTTTGTGTATTTTTCTTTTTCAGCAGGACTGTTGGGAAGGTTAGTGCTGCTACCCTTAGTTGTCTCATCCCTTCGATTGCCTCAGCCATGGTGCGCCAAATCGTCAACTCCGAGGGGTTGGGCCGTTAGAAGGCCAGTCTTATCCTCACCTCCCGCTGGAACACGTTTTTCTCCAAAGACGCGTTGGAGGATGATGTGCTGGCCCAATCCTCTTCCATAAATTTGGCGATTAAGGTAGTCTTTATGGCAGACTGTGACAATACTGCACATACATGCAGGACATCACAGTAAGCTAGGGTATGAGAGCCGGTAACAGTCCTGGCTCTCATACCCAGAGGGACTGGAGGCGTGCCTTGAAGTAGCATGTCCAAGTCTTCTCAATAGTTAATGTAATTGGGAGCCACTAAGAACAGGGAAACAACTGTAGGCACTACAATAACTTCATTTAGATGTTTTTATAGTAAGTACAGTGTTCCTTTAAACTTGTCTTGAGTAAGAAAATGACTGTAAATGTGAATTCCTGTTTATTGAATCTAACATAACTCCTGATCCCATTGGCATGCCGTCTTTAAATTTGGGAGAGTTAAAGACAGTTTATATAATTAATTAAAAACATTTTAAATTAAAAGTTTTTGAGAAAATGGCCGCCAAAATACTAATTATAACAGCTTGGAAATATTTTTTTTCCTAACATGGGCAAGTAATAGCTTATCAGAATTTTTTTTCACCAATACTACTTTGTAAATAGAGAAGGACCATGGACCTGCAATTTGGCATAGACTCATACCTCAGTATGTCAATTTTAAAAAAATACATATCAGACTGTGAGGCTGAGGACCTTGATGATTAATTTCAAATGGAATGGGCCTAATCTATTGCATGCACTCTCTTCCACACATTCACTTTGTGTCAAGTAAATGGTCTAACTACATTGTACAATTTAATTGAAAACATAAAAGTTTACAAAAAAAAAAAGTTGCCCAGAGCATCATCACTTCCGGGTGTATAACAGGAAGTAAAGCGTCTACTGTGTGACGCAAGTAGCTCTGCGACGCTAAGCTTTCGTGACGTCAGAGTCGCGACTCCAGTGGCCGACATCTTGGGTAACGAAAGCTACACGGTGATTTCAGTGAGTGTCATTTTATCGGGTTATTTCCCGTTTAAACCATAGAATCCTCTCTAAACACGGTGTCCGTCCCGGGATCCCCGCTCTGCGGTGCTCGATACGCGCCTTACAGTGGGGTTCAGACTGGGCATGGGGGTTTATCCGCTATATTGAGACATAGTGACTCTCACTGTATTGGGGAGGGGGGGGGAGTCATTATTTGTAACATGGATTGATGGAGGAATTAGTATAAAGTGCTATTATGAGTAATGGGTCATCCTTTGGAACTTTGTTTTATAAGGCATCCAGTGGCGTTGAAGAGGTTAAAGTCTTAAGGATTTTCTGTAGAAACTAGAACCTAAATGTATGCACCAGAAAGGGGGAGAAAAAAAGAAAAACCATCAATAGGCAACACTGGAGTTTATTCAGTAAATTATGAATTGTACCAAATTAAAAAAATATAAATAGCAAAATCATTGCCTAATGAATTGTCAGTTAATGATGCCTACCTAGAGACACAATTTTTATTGCTTAACCCCTTAACCCCTTAAGGACGGAGCCAAATGTACACGTTGTGAACAAAACAAAATGTAAACAAAACCTGGCATTTGTGCTACATGTCTGTCCAACCGTAATACACCTCTTTCATAGTAAATGCACCCACCCTTATTATATATCATTTTATTCAGGGGAAACAGGGCTTTCATTTAATATCAAATATTTAGCTATGAAACATAATTTAATATGAAAAAAATGGGAGAAAATACGATTTTATTGGATTTTTTAGTTCTACATGACAATTAAACGGTCAGTGTCATAATACTGTTTGCTTTTACTGCAATAAAATACACATATTTGTATTCAGCAAAGTCTCACGTGTAAAACAGTACCCCCTATGTACAGGTTTTATGGCGTTTTGGGAAGTTACAGGGTCAAATATAGCACGCTACATTTGAAATTGAAATTCGCCAGATTGGTTACGTTGCCTTTGAGACTGTATAATAGCCTGGGAATGAAATTTACACCCATAATGGCATACCATTTGCAATAGTAGACAACCCAAGGTATTGCAAATGGGGTATGTCCAGTCTTTTTTAGTAGCCATTTGGTCACAAACACTGGCCAAAGTTAGCGTTAGTATTTGTGTGAAAAATGCAAAAAAACGCCAATTTTGGCCAGTGTTTGTGACTAAGTGGCTACTAAAAAAGACTGGACATACCCCGTTTGCAATACCTTGGGTTGTCTACTATTGCAAATGGTATGCCATCATAGGGGTAATTTTCATTCTTGGGCTACCATAGGGTCTCAAAGGCAACGTAACCAATCTGGCGAATTTTAATGTGAAAAAAATGAAACGCAAGCTTTATATTTGACGCTGTAACTTTTGAAAACACCATAAAACCTGTACATGAGGGGTACTGTTGTACTCGGGAGACTTCGCTGAACACAAATATTTGTGTTTCAAAACAGTAAAAAGTATCATAGCAATAATATTGTCCGTTTAATGCTGTTTGTGCGTGAAAAATGCAAAAAACGTCACTTTTACTGGTGATATCATCGTTGTAATACATTTTAATGTTTTGAAACACTAATATTTGTGTTCAGCGAAGTCTCCTGAGTAGAACAGTACCCCCCATATACAGGTTTTATGGTGTCTCGGAAAGTTATAGGGTTAAATATAGTGCTAGCAAATTAAATTCCCTTTACTTTCGGCACGTGTTGTCAGGCAGGTCCCGCTAATTGTAATTAAGATACCCAATTATGTAAAAATATATATGTAGAATTAATGTATGTGTATATATATTTTTTTAACTATTTTTATTTATAGATATATATATAGTGATATATCCGTATATATTTATGTATAAAGATATATATATATTTAGTTCTACGTGTATTTTGATATAAATATATAATATCACAATACAGTTAGAACGAAATAACACATCTATATATTTATTTTTAATAATTTTGTAAAATTTAACGTATTTACATATTTATTTTTTATATTATATATTATATATATTTAATCAGTATCAGTCTACATGTAATTTTATATTAATAGTAAAATACACCTAGACAGTGTATGTGTATATATATATATATATATATATATATATATATATATATATATATATATATATATATATATGTATTCTAAGTATATATTATTTTTTTTACACTATTTATTTATTTTAAATTTTATTTTCAGCCAGCAGGGGGACCACCTGTCATTACAGGCAGTCCCCCTGCTGGCAATGCAGGAGGCAGCTACCCCCGGCCATGTGATTATGGGGTCCTCGCAAGGACCCCACTCTCACATGGCCGGGGGGCTTCGAGGAGGACGGTTGTGCCGCGGGGGGCTCCCCGGGTAAATACCGAAAGACCGGGGGGCGTACTATTACGCCCGGCGGCGTTTAGAGACGCTTAGAATAGGGCGTAATGGTACGCCCTCCGTTCTTAAGGGGTTAACCCCTTAAGGACAGAGCTTCAGAAGCTTGTCTTTCACTTAATGACAACAGCATTGTTTTTTTTCATTTTTTGCGGTTTGCGTTCAACTGCAATTTGCATTTTACTAATTTATTGCACCGACACATATATCGTTTTTTAAAGGACAGAAAGGGCTTTAATTTGATGTGAGACACATATACTTATTTATTATAAAAAAAAAATACAGAAAAATGTAAAAAAATAAATTTATTTAGTTGTTCTGATTTATAGAATATGTAATGTGTCTGGGATTTAAATTGTTTTTTTTTTTTTTTGGTAGTTACAGGTCACAAAGCACAAGGAGTAAAATAAACTTTTAATGTGCAGCGAATTTAGAATTTGGTATGTTTGTCTTGTAAACTTAATAGCCATAAAAGAAAACAAAATTGCCACACAAAAGTATATATTTATATAAAGTAGACATCACAGGCTATTTACCTAGGGTTGTTTTGACACCTTCTACGTAGCCATTTCACCGCCAACCTCTGCTAAATATTGGAGTAAAATTGTGTTTTTTGGGCGGGGTTTTGGCACACAAACTTATAACAAAGAAATTCTCATGTATTTTGTAAAGTTCGTGTGTGCTATTCCTGTACAAAGTTTTTTGTGTTTTAGTTACGTCTGCTGAGTAAATGACACCCCTATTATATGTCTTTGGCACTATTTCGTGAAGCTACAGTGCCATATAGGAGACCTGTCCTTTTCAGTACTCACAGTAGAATTTTGAGAGACGGATTTAATGAGCCTTTGCTTCCATTTGGGGTATTATACCAGTTTAACTGTTCAAAAAAACAAAAAAACACAAAGGCCTACCATTTGTAAAAGTAGACACTCCAGGGTATCTCATAAGGTGCATATTGTGCCTTAACATGCACCCATTTTTAAACCAATATATGCTAAAGTACGTGATGATAAAATAATTTTGTGCGTTTTTTACATATGGATTGCATTTTTGCTGGGCATTTTGTATATTTCACATGTGCCACTAAGTTCAAACCCCCCAAATTATGCTCGTCTAAGTCTTCTGAGTAAAAAGACACCCAATGAATGTCTTTGGCACTATTTCGTGAAGCTACAGTGCTATATAGGAGACCAAGCCATATCAATTTTTACCGAACTTTAAATTTTGACGCTGGGCCTATGTGCAATTTCCAAGCATCTTAGCAGGGTTTAAATTCAAACTACCCCACAAAGGCCTACCATTTCTTAAAGTAGACACCACAGGGTATTTCAAAAGGGATATTTTGAATCTTAGCGTGGGATCATTTTTCCGCTAGCTTGTACCAAGTTTAGTGGTAATAAGTGTTTTTTTTTCTGCCGTTTTGACACACAAAGTGAGTTTGCACAGTATATTTTGCAAACCTTATGTGTGCTACGACTGTATAATACTTCATATGTTGCTCAGCTGAGTACAGCAATACCACTGTATGTATCTTTGCCAGGTATATGTGGACATCGGAGGGGCACATTTGGGAAACAGCCATTCCAGGTTTTTTTTCAAACTTTACATTTTTACACTGTGCCCATGTCCCATTATAGAGTATTTTTTTTACCAGGCTATATAATCCAAATACCCCATAAAGCCATGCCATTTCTTAAAGAAGACATCCCAGGGTATATCAAAAGGCATATTTTGAACCTTAGCGTGGGATCATTTTTCCGCTAGCTTGTACCAAGTGTAGTGGTAATAAGTGTTTGTTCTGCCTTTTTGACACACAAAGTGAGTTTGCAGAGTATATTTAGCAAACCTTATGTGTGCTACGACTGTATAATACTTCATATGTTGATCAGCTATGTCGTCTGAGTACAGCAATACCCCCCCGTATGTACCTTTTCCAGGTATATGTGGATGTTGAAGGGGCGCATTTGAGACGCAGCCATTCAGTTTTTTTCTAACTTTGAAGTTTTACGCTGTGTCCATGTTCCAATTTGGAGTAGTTTAGACAGTTGGTTATTGAAACTTCCACACAAACACATACTATTTATTAAAGAATACACCCTGGGGTAATTCAAAAGGCATATTTTGAACCTTAGCGTGGGATCATTTTTCCTCTAGTTTGTTCCAGGTGTAGTGGTAATGAGCGTTTTTAAATGTTTTTTTTTTTTTACTTTTTTTTTTACTTTTAAAAACTATTTTTTTAAACTTTTGTTTTGCTTATTCATTTTTTTTAAACTTTCCTAAAGCTTCTTAAAACTTTTTTTTTTTATTATAATACAGATTTAACATTTTTCTAAGCTTTTCTTTTACCGTTAACCCCTAACTAGCGGTAAGCAGCACTAACAGTAAATTCCCAATTTTCCCATAACTCCCACCTACCCCAGCTAGCAAAATATATAATTATAAAATATTTAAATTAATTAAATAAATTGAACCCCTGAGGGTTAAAAATAAAAATAAAAAATTAGATCACAGTATAATACTGTGATCTGTATTTTGATCACTGTAGGCAGTGATCGACTGGCAGGGAAGGGGTTAATTTCTATTTGGAGTGGGTAAAGGTGTTTTGTTTTTTACTTAAACGTTATTACAACTTTTTTTTAGCTTAATTTTTTTCTTTTTAAAGTTTATTTTAAAACTTTTTTTTACCGTTAACCCCTAGTTAGCCTATCACCAAATCCCCCAATTCCCCACCAACTTCCACCCACCCCAGCTAGCTAAACATATAATTTAAAAATATTTAAATTAATTAAAGAAATTTAACCCCTGAGGGTTAAAAAAAAAACAACAGAATTAACCCCCTTAGGGGTTAAAAAATAAATAAAAAATCAGATGACAGTAAAATGTAATCCCTGCCAATTGATCACTGTAGTCAGTGATCAGCTGGCAGGGAAGGGGTTAATTTTTAATTAAAATGGGTAAATGGGGGTGGGATTTTTAAATAAACTTTTTATTTATTTATTTTTTAACAGGGAGCAAGATCATCACTGATCCGTCTCCCTGCACTTCACACAGAACCAGGAAGTGCAGGTAGGCAGAAGGTAAGTATACTAAGCACATGTGCTCGCTCTGACATGCTGTCAGAGCGAGCCCATGTGCTGGGCAGCACTATCGGGTGCTCCCGGTCTGCCTCTAATACAGAGGCAGACCGGAGCACCATTAACCCCGCGATAGCGGCGATCCGGGGTTAATTTTAACGGGTGACGGGTCGTTATGGCAATCCCCTGAGTGACGGGCCTTGTCCGTCACTCGTCGTTAAAGGGAGACTATAGTCACACAGACCTCTTCATCTCAATCAAGTGGTCTGTGTGCAGTGCCCATTTGCTTTTGACCGTGCAATGTAAAATATTGCATTTTTTTAAATTTTATTTAATCACTTAAGGACTGGGCCAGTTGTACAAGTCGTGAAGAAAACATAAACAAAACCTGGCATCGGCGCTATATGTCTGTCCAACCGTAATACACCATTTTCATATTAAACTTATTATATATAATTTTGTTCAGGAGAAACAGTATTTTCATGCCACATCAAATATTTATATATTAAACATAGTTTAATATGAATAAAATATAAAATGTACACAATGTGAAAAATTAAGATTTATTTTTTATTTCTTTAGTACTGTATGGCATTTTAACCCCTTAAGGACACATGACATGTGTGACATGTCATGATTCCCTTTTATTCGCTGGTGACCTCTCCTCCTCCTCCTGCGGACGTCAGCGCAGAATGCACATGTGCAGCAAGAGCTGTGCGCACATTCAAAACGCCTATAGGAAAGCATTACTCAATGCTTTCCTATGGACCTCCAGCGTCTTCTCACTGTGATTTTTCACAGTGAGAATCGCGGTAGCCGCCTCTAGTGGCTGTCAGGGAGACAGCCACTAGAGGCTGGATTAACCCTCAGTGTAAACATAGCAGTTTCTCTAAAACTGCTATGTTTTCAGCTGCAGGGTTAAAACTAGAGGGACCTGGCACCCAGACCACTTAATTGAGCCGAAGTGGTCTGGGTGCCTATAGTGGTCCTTTAACTGTGAATGTCATAATACTGTTAGCTGCAATAAAAAGCACATATTTGTATTCAGTGAAATCTCACAAGTAAAATAGTACTCCCCAAGTACAGGTTTTATAGTGTTTTGGAAAGTTACAGGGTCAAATGTAGCACATTAAATTTTTTTAGTTTATACACATTGAAATTTGCCAGACTGGTTATGTTGCCTTTGAGACCGTGTGGTAGCCCAGGAATGAAAATTACCCCCGTTATAGTATACCATTTGCAAAAGTATAGACAACCCAAGGTATTATAAATTAGGTATGTCCAGTCTTTTTTAGTAGCCACTTAGTCACAAACACTGGCCAAAGTTAGCATTCTAATTTGTGTGTGTGTGAAAAATGCAAAACCGATTTGAACGATAATTTGGGGCAGTGTTTGTGACTTGGTGGCTACTAATAAAGACTGGATATATTTGCAGTAATTTGGGTTTTCTACTTTTGCAAATGTTATGCCATTGTGGTGGTAATTCTCATTCCTGGGCTACCATACGGTCTCAAAGGCAACATAACCAATCTGGCGCATTTTAATGTGGAAAAAATGGAAATGCAAGTCTTACATTACACTCTATAACTTTTGAAAACGCCAAAAGACCTGTACATGGTGGGTACTGTTATACTTGAGAGAGTATAATATTAGTGTTTTCAAATATTACAACTTATCACAACAATTATATCGTCAGTGAAAGTGCCGTTTGTGTGTGAAAAATGCAAAAAAACTGCACTTTCACAGACAATGTCATTGTTGTGATATGTTTTACTGTTTTGAAACTCTAATATTTGTGTTCAGCAAAGTCTTCCGAGTAAAACCGTATCCCACTATGTACAGGTTTTATGGTGTCTTGGAAAGTTACAGGGTAAAATATAGGGCTTGCAAACCATATTCTTTGGACTTTCTTCCTGCATTGTCAGACAAGTCCCTCAAATTGTAATTAATGAAATGACTTAATCATGTAAAAAAAAAAAAATATATATATATATATATATATATATATGTATATGTATATGTATATGTATATGTATATGTGTATATGTATGTATGTGTGCCTGGTCGGCAGCTGTTCCCTCTCCCTCCAGCCGGCGCACTCTGTGTGGGAGGAAGTGCTGTCACTTCCTCCCAGCATCCCATATACTGTGTTTAGCGATACCGATCAGGTGGCCCTAAATGCTTGGGCCACCCGACAAGCAAATCATTGGGGAAACGCTGCTCTAGGAGATTGTTTTCTTGCTTTAAAGTTTAAAATGAAAGGAAGACACATGCTCTGGGACTGTTTTATTTTCATTTGGTAGCTGCAGTAACCTGCATTTGTCAACAGAGGCATTTTCTTTACAAAGTAGGCAATATTGTTATCCATCTGGCTTTCCTTACTTTTTTGGTAAAATAGTTCCCTTGTCCTGTCTCTCTCAGAAAGAAAAACCCCCAAAAATCTAATGCCCTCAAATATTTTACAATGGAAGACACACACACACACACACACACCATTGCTTTATCACTCTTGTGAAAGTACAAGGTTGTTGAAATAATGTATGGTTATATCGCCTAGTACTTCATAAACAAAATCAATGAGTGTGTATATATATATATATATATATATATATATATATATATATATATATATATATATATATATATATATATATATATATATATATATATATACACACACACAAGAATAGTATGTGTACATTGTATCTGGCTTGCTGGACATAAAGCAATGTGTGTTGCTAAGAGAAACCATAAAAAGTAGACTGATATCTAAATAAAAATGTTGTCTTCATTTACCTCTCACAGGATTCTAGAATTTAGAAATATCATGTTCTTTAAATTGTTCTTGGTGAAAATAAGAGTTTGTAATTGTGGTTTTAAGTATAAACTGGAACACTTACACCAGAAGTAAACTTTTTTTTTTTTTATATTTTTATTTTATAGTGTTTTATAAATAACTGCTGCATATCTGTTCAGTGGCCAACTTTCTTTCATTGCCCTAGTTAGTATGTACATGGTACAGTGACAAGTTAAATCTGAATCTTATCCAGTTACAAATGTACAGATATTTCTTACCAGTTTTTAAAGTGCTCTGCCATCAGTTGTTTGTATATGCAAACGCACTTTTAATGCGCACACACACTATTTTGTTGTGCAATAGATACACCTGTTTGATAACAAATGCTATTGCTCAGGTACCCAATAGAATGTAAAATTGTTAAGGGATTTTTGACTGTGCTAGTGTTTGTGGTGCCATATGCTGAATTACTGAATTAAATGACCACTATAGGCACCCAGACCACTTCAGCTTAATGAAGTGGTCTGGGTGCCTGGTCCAGCTATGGTTAACCCCTTTTTTTTTATTTATTTATTTTTATTATAAACATAGCAGTTTCAGAGAAACTGCTATGTATATAATATGGTTAATCCAGCCTCTAGTGGCTGTCACATTGACAGCCGCTAGAGGTGCTTGGAGGAGGAGAGCTCCCCGCCCGGTGCTGGAGAAAAGTAAGATTTTAACCCCTTCCTCTCCCCAGAGCCCGGCGGGAGGGGGACCCTGAGGGTGGGGGCACCCTCAGGGCACTATAGTGCCAGGAAAACGAGTATGTTTTCGTGGCACTATAGTGATCCTTTAAGCATTTTAAGAATGTCTATCAACCTGTATAAAAGTCTGCAACTGTAGTAGTGTTTTTCTAGCGAGTGCATATTCCGCATGCTAGAGGAATGGAGGGACAGGCATTATTGATTAGAATTGCCATATTTGGGAAATGTTTTCCAAGCAGGACCACTTGTTCCTTAGAGGGTTATGGGGAGTGAGAGAAGAATGTGGATTTTCTATTGGTGTAATACACAGATCTAGTCATAGTGGCGATGGTATGTTGGACCTCCTACAGCAAGAAAATGTCACTTTTATTTATGATATATTTGTTGTTTTAGGAGTTGGAAGGTGAACCTTTGAGAGGTTCTCATAAAAAAAATAAATATATATTTTCCTTTGCTAATGCCTTCCATACCAAAGCCATAGAAATGTTATATAGACTAAATTGGTGACTAAAATATACTTACTACATTGGTTTAGATTCTAAAATCAGCATTTCATTAACTCTTTGCAGGTATGGGCTCCTCTAAGAAGCATAAGGAGAAGGATCGTGATCGCGATGTTGCTGCAGCAGCAAGCGGAGGAGATGAGCGACACAGAGAACACAAAAAACATAAGCACAAAGAACGAGAGCGTGAGCGGCGCAAGAGGTCTCGAGAGAGGGGGAGAGAAAAACCACGTGATAAAGAAGGACGGCCCAGGTCCAGCAAGGATGGAGAGTCTCGGAGGATAAAAAAAGAGAAGTTGGACCCTGTGTTTGATAATGGTGAGTAACACTAACTAGCTTCCATATCAAGCACTCCTTTTCAACACTGGTAATCTAAAACAAGTTCACAGTACAACTATTGCAAAACTTATAAATATATGAAACACAAAAAACTATTTGCATGGCATAGAGCAATACAGAGTTTCTTGACAGATTTGTGTGAATTTCAAATTCTACGCTGCAAATTGAACGGATTATCTAAGTCAGTTGTGTTTTAGTTTGGATATTTTGGAAATTTGAAGTTTACAACTGAGTGAATAATTCTGATGGTTTCAAAACAAAATACTAATTCAGGTAAATATCAGTAAGACATTTTAGCGCTTACAAGCAGTAAGCAACAGTTTTCCTAGTATCTCATCCATGTTACCAGCTAGCAGCCATATTTAGCAACCTTTCTTCTCCTCTGTTGCATTCAATAGTAGGCATATGCATGTATATTGTGTTTTCTGTGTATTTTTTTTTTTCTTTCTGTTTGTGATTTATCAAATGGATTTTTACCGTGAGCAAGAATTGAGTCTTTTCCACAATTTTAAAACCATTGTAGATCTAATTGACTTGGTCTGTAATAATAATTCACATGTGAATATCAAAACGAAAATAAAAAGATAATTTACTGTTTTTTTTTCTTTTGATTTTATGAAATCTCCTTTAGCTGCTGGTGTCAAATCTGCTTCTGGAGATTCTTCACTGAGTATTGAAGAGACCAAGTGAGTATGGATTGGGGAATATACATGTAACCATACTACCCATTCAAGCAAATGGGATATATGCTACCTACCTTCACGCAACCTCCCATTTAAAATCAGCTAAGTGTGCTGAAGCCTGTGATTTTAAAGAGGAACTGTCCTATTTAGCAAATAAGTGTTTGAGGTCTAAAAATTTTAAGAGTTACTGCCGCATCTCTGGAATAAAACAATGAAATTCACTAATAGTGTTATCCTTTTTAAGACCTCCTTTTTTTTTTGTTGTTGAAATTTTATATTAAAAAATTATCAAATTACACTATACACCGATCATCCACAACATTAAAATCACTGACTGGTAAAGTGAAAATATTGATCATATTGTTACAGCGGCACCTTTCAACGAGTGGGCTATATTAGGCAGAAAGTGAGCAGTCACTTTTGTGTTGGAAACTAAAAATGGGCAAGCGAAAAGATCTGAGTAACTTTGACAAGGGTCAAATAGTAATGGCTAGGCGACTGGGTTAGGGCATCTCCAAAGCAGCAAGTCTTGTGGGGTGTTCCTGGTATGCAGTGGTTAGTACCTACCATAAGTGGTGCAAGGAAGGATAAGTGAACCGGCGTCAGGACCATGGACGCCCTATACTTAATAGTTCACGTGGGGAGCGAAGGCTCGTCCATCTGGTTTGATTACACAGAAGAGTTACTGTAGCTCAGATTGCTGAAAAACATAATGCTGGCCATGATAGAAATGTGTCAGCACATAGAGGTGCATCACAGTTTGTTGATTATGGGTTTGCTTAGCTGCAGACTGGTCTGAGTGCCCATGATGACCCCTATCCACCTCCAAAATTGCCTTCAATAAGGACGAAAACTTCAAACTGGACTATGGAGCAATGGAAGAAGGTTGCCTGGTCTGATAAATCATGTTTTCTTTTAGATCAGGTTGATGGCTGGATGCATGTGCCTTGTTTTCCAAAGGCAGCAGGATGCACAATGGGAAGAAAGCAAGCCAGTGGAGGCAATGTTATGTTCTGCCGGGAAAGCATGGTTCCTGGTATTCATGTGGATGTTACTTTGACACATGTCAACTACATAGAGCTTGTTGCACACCATATTTGCCCTTTCATGGCCTCTTGCAGCAGGATAAAGCAGCCTACTATACTGCAAAAAATTTTCAGAAATGGTTTGAGGTTCAGGATGGTATTCCTATCAATCAATGTAAACACTGTATTTTCTCTGAAAATACAGTGTTTACATTAGATTGGCTGCAGGGAGCTATAGATATCACCTGAACAACTACATTAAGCTGTAGCTGTTCATGTGAATATATAGTGTCCCTTTAACATTTTCAGACCTCACGAATACACATGTTACATATAGGGATAAGTAAACCTGATATTACAAAAAAAACAACCCAAAAAAACCTTGAACTGCAAGTTCCTTTTAAAAAGTAGAAATCCACACATCTATCCTGGAACCAGGCACCTCCATCTAGGCTCAATTTCCATCGTTGTTCTAAATGTGCCATTGAACACCGTAGAAGAGGAAAAGCCAAAACAATGCTTGTTATCCTCCTCCTTTTCATTATGTGCCCTAGCTGTACTTGGACTCGACTGTTTTTAGATGTCCCTTGTTAAATCTATTATATATTTTCAGTGTTTTTATTTTAGTTTTTTTTTTTTTTTTTTATATCCTTTATTTATATCCTTCATCTGGTGAGTGCAGTGCTAATAGCACCAGGTCATAGTATACCATACATTTCTTCACCTGTATTTTCAGTGTTTTAGTCTTTGGTGTATTTTCCAGAGTAGGGATCGTTCTGCTTTAAAGGGAATAATCACTCGTGTTGCAAACCCGCAAATGGATTCTATAGTGTAAGGAATACAAAGTTGTATTCCTTACACTAAAGTTCCCTCTGGCCCCTCCACCCTAGTGGCTGGCTGGCTGACCGACTCTAGAGGCAGTCTTAGTCCTGAAATGTAATTGCGGTTTCTCAAGGACAAGGACATTGCACCCAGACCACCTCAAAGTGGTATGGGTGCCTATAGTGTCCCTTTTAAGTGCTTGCATGATTTCAGAGACTGGATGTATAACATGTTTTCTTTTATATGAGCACTGAATCCTAGCACTGCATTTCCTGACAAAGCTGTTGGGTTGTATGTCTGCAGTAGGGCTGGCTCAAGACATTTTGCTGCCTGCTTCCGAGAGCAAAGTGCTGCCCCAACACTGCTTGCGCGAAATACATCATCATAAACTATAACATTTAAACAGAACTTATTCACTAATCGCGTATAAATATAGGTAATTATCCACGCACGATATAATTACCAACAAATGCACCTACCTAACAATACATGTGCACATGCATACACAGATCTCTTATTTCTTTTGTTTTTGTTTTTTTCAGCAAACTTCGTGCAAAACTTGGCTTAAAACCCCTGGAAATGAACACTGTCAAAAATGGTGAGTTTACAATTGTCCTTAATTGATCATATTTATTTTTCTTTTCAAAAGTAATTTGGCATTATAACCTCTTATTGTATTCTATTACTGGCTTTGCAGTTTGTTCTCTCTCTCTGTATAGGACTTTAAAGCTGAATTGCTGAATTTGTAGCTCTGCCTCTCAGCTCTGTCAAAGAGCTGGAAATAAACTTCCTGCCTCTCATACCACTGAGATGGTACATCAGCACACAATGTATGCTGACATAGGTGGACTTGCGAGGGCTTGCATCTGAGGAGCAACGCCTGCAAGTGTAATCAATTTCGCTGTTATGAATAGTATAGCGCGTGGCCCTTGCTCAACACTAGCACTAATTATCATTGAGCTAATTCAGTGCTTCTTTATGGGAGCTTTTTCGCTGGTTGCATGCACAATAGCTGGTCATGTACAATGATCAGGCTGTAGGAAGTATAACATTAAAGTGATACTCTAAGCTCGAAAACAGTTTTAGCCTGTTGAATCATGCTCCTGCAGTCACTGCTCTATTGTGTATAGATCATGCTCCTGCAGTCACTGCTCTATTTTCTGCCATTTTAGTGTTAATCCTTACATGCCGGCACTCGTGTATTCATGATTGCAATGGTATGCAGTTATACCCTGCTATTTTATCTATTGCAAATGAACTTAATTTATAGAAGAGCTAGCGGTAACATTGCTGGATTCCTCTGCAGCTGCATTGGCCGGTGGGGAGATCCCCATGCACCTTTCCACATTTGGTCTTCTCAGAATAAAGTACAGCTGATGCAATACCACCCTCATTGGCCGAGGGTGCTTGGCTGATTCTCTTAGCCATTGAGCGTGGTCCTGCAAAGCACTGCTTTGCTCTATGGAGCAATCCACTACTACCACAAGAGGACATAGTCCTTAATTAGAGGGGCAAAAGTTAAAAAATATCAGGAAGTATTTATTTATTTACTGAGAGGGTAGTGGATGCATGGAATCGCGTTCCAGCTGAAGTGGTAGATGTTAACACAGTGAAGGTGTTTAAGCATGTGTGGGATAGGTATAAGGCTATCCTAGCTATAAGATAAAGCCAGGGACTAATGAAAGTATTTAGAATATTGGGCAGACTAGATGGGACGAATGGTTCTTATCTGCCGTCACATTCTATATTTCTATCCAGACTTCTGCAGGAGAAGGCTAGAATGCAGAGGATATGGTCCGCAGATAATTTGCCAAGCAATACTAATACAGTTTGTCTGCTTACTGTAGGTTGGCGCGGGGGCTCTTGTGGGACCATAACTACTACAGTGGGCCTTTAAAACAAAGCCCAATGTATTGGTTCTGGTGTCTATAGCCTGTCCCCGCAGGCTTTCACTGTAATTGCTGCATATGTAAAAGGCAATATTTGCATTGGTGTTTAGTAACACCTCTAATGAGAGTCACTCAGATGGCCACTATAGGTCTTCCTAGTCCAGTGCTGTAAATTGTTCAGCACTGGTCTTTAGGGAATCTGCATGCTCACAATGAAGATGCTTTGATTCAATGCATCTGAGGAGATGCTGATTTTCACAGTGCAGCGAATTGCCGTGTCAGGAATACGTGTTTGTATTCCTGACCCTTTAGCGTTACTTTTAATAGTTCTGGTACTTGGAGTCTTTATTTAAATAACATAGAGGTAATAGCAGTGCCAGTTAGATGTTTTGTGTATTCATTTTTTTTTTTCCTGAACTTGCAGAAACTGGCAGTAAAGAAGACCCTGTAGCTGCTGCAGTTATTAATCCATTAATTCTCCGACAGCAGCAGGAGCTAAGAGAGAAGTTAGCAGCCGCAAAAGAGAAGAGGTTGCTGAACCAGAAGTTGGGGTAAAGAAGTGTTCTTGTATAGTTTTCAAATATTTTGCAATTATTTTGTTGGCATTGAAGAAAATCTCTGTTCTATTTTATGCATTTTACTTCATATATTTTACCTTTTTTTTTGTTTGTACCTTTCCCCTCCCATTTACAGCAAAATTAAATCACTAGGAGACGATGAGCTGTGGTTGGATGATACCGCTGCTTGGATTGAGCGAAGCAGAAAACTTCAGCTAGAAAAGGATAAGGCTGAAAAGAGGGTGCGTGCCTTGATCTGTCCGCATGTTGAGAATTTTTTTTAATGAATTTTTAAGTAACATTTTTAACCTGACTGACTGGTAACAATATAGACTTGATACATTTGTGACAATAATTAGTTTTTCATTATTAATGTGTGAATCTTGAGACGTTTCAAGAATTGAATATCTGCTAAGTAGTGGAAAGATCTTTAAAACCCCTTACCACATGTATTTATCAGTATAGAATTTGACATTATGTGATTTAAAGTAATTCCTATCATATATCTACTTCCCCCACAGGCAAAACTTCTTGCAGAAATGGATGAAGAGTTTGGGGTGTCCAATCTTGTAGAGGAAGAATTTGGTCAAAAGAAGGTTTGTGGGTCATAATGTTTGTTAAATATGGATAATGAATCCCCTTCTGTAATATATCTTCCGTTATAATTCACAATCTTTTCAGAAGTGACTTGCTCCCAGTTATACATTCTTTTCTCCCCTTAACAGCATTACACCTCCCAGGATTTGCAAGGCCTGACTGTAGAGCATAAAATCGAGTCATTCACTGAAGGAAAGACTGTAATTCTCACACTTAAAGATAAAGGTAGGATCTGTAGTCCCTGATGTTCATCATAATGGAGGAATCTAATAATTGATCTTATGGTTGCTAAAGATTTTGGTAAACTGTTTGTATGAGCCATTAAATATTTATAAAGTTTAGCTATATAATATGCAATGATTATACATGTGCCCTTTTATAATAATTGTTTGTTCCATAGCTATCTTAGATGAAGATGAATCTGATGTGTTGGTGAATGTGAATATGGTGGACAAAGAGAAAGCAGATAAAAATGTGGAGCTGAAGAAGAAAAAGCCTGATTACAAACCATATGAAGAGGAGGAGAGTGTAGAAGACATGGCCATTGTAAGTCTCTCATATTTGAAGTCTGACTGAGGTTCCCTTCGACTCATGTCACCTTGAGAAATCAGACCAATACCATGCTCTTATGCTTTTGTATGTCTTTTAAATTTTAGTTACGACACAAATCCGTGCTGTCTAAGTATGATGAGGAGATTGAGGGTGAGAAAAAGAAATCTTTTCGCTTGGAGTCTGGAGGATTGGCAGATGGGTCTTGGGAAAAGGAACTGCAAAATATTCGTGAATCCTTACATAAACAGGCACAAACACTTGAGTTGCCAGGATTAAAGATCGCATCTGAATATTTCTCACCAGAGGAAATGGTAAGACCATCGGACGAAGTGTAAACTTGAACTACCAGCAGAGAGAGAGAGTGTGTGTGTTTTAAAATACAAGTGCAGAAATTGTAGAGAACTTGATTTGTGTGAGGCTGTTGGTCTTTTTTTAGAAGTATAATTTAACTGGAGTTTTTTCACATTATAGACTTTGCCTTTTTGATTTGTAACTACCATTTCAGTGAGTGTGTTTCACCTTTTCCTATTTTTGTTGTTCCAAGGTTTCATTTAAAAAAACAAAGCGCAAAGTGAAAAAGATAAGAAAAAAAGAGAAGTCTGTTCGAGTTGAGGACATCCTTGTGATGGGGAGTAGTACACGAGAAAATGATTATGGATCCAGGTAAGCAACTCTCAGTGCTAAATGTTGGCAACATTAAAAGTGGTATTAGATAATTTATCATCTTAAACAGATTGATGGGGCTGCACTTTTGAAGGTTAGATTTCTATTAATATTCTGCCATTTTTAAAATAAAATAAAAAACACTGATCCGTGTCCCATAAATGCTTTTCTTAGAAAAGCTTTGACATTGCATAGTATACAAGCTGCAATTGCCTCAAAATACAAATCCAGTACTCCTCTTCAAGAAACATTGAATACAGATCTTCTCATGGAGAAGCACTGGAGACACAGCAGGCATTTGCAATCAGAAGCCGGACATTAATTTACTTTGTTATTGAATCTATTTCTGTCGGAGCAACCTAGTGATTGTGTAACAGCCACTAATGATGTGGTCATTGTACACTGTAAAAGGTTCCATTTCTCAGAAACAGCACTGTTTATATGTGCAAAGCAGCAGCAGCAGCAGCATCTATGCTCCAATTTTATTTAATTGGTTGGATAGCAATTTAGAATGAAGAAAGATTCAGGTCCATCAAGTTCAGCCTTTTTAAAATATCCCTATAATTGCTGTTGAACCAAAAGAAGGGAAAAAGATCCCAGTTTGAAGCAATTTCCAATTTTGTCATAAAATTAAGATTGAAGGGAAATTTGGACTTAGTGTCCATTTAAGTAAGATGTGTTTTTTTTAGTTTTTTGTTTTTTTAAATGATTTTCATATTTATTTTGCTAGGGTTCGTGGACGTGGCCGAAGGCGCGTGGAGCAGTCAGATGAGGAACACGAGGTGGAGCTACCTGAATTAGTGCCACGGTCTGATGATATTAGAGTGGAAAGTATGGATATAAGCGACCAAGGTAAGACAGCCAACATCCGAAGCATTACAGCGAGGTGTCATTACTTTTTTTATTTTGGTCTTCGACGTTTTAAAGGACCACATCTTAATGAAGTGTCCCAAGTGCTGTTGTCCTTTAGGTTTAACTCTGCAATGTAAAACATTGCAGTTTTTTTTAGAGACTGCAATATTTACATTGGATTATATCCTCCTCTAGTGGCTGCCATACTGACAGCCTCTGAATGCGCTTCTCTATCACTTAACTGGAGCCCCTATAGGAGCATTGGTTGGACTGACTCCAGAGGAGATATCTATCCGTATAGATAGGGACAGAAAAACTGAAGTGTTAGAAATACACATTATTATTCCTAGTGCTTTAGTGTACCTTTTAAGTTACGATACGTAATAGAGCTTTTATTAGTATTGATTTTCTAATGTCTGATGATTAGTGTGTGCATATATCTTTTACTTACCTTCCACTGACTTTTTTTTTTTTTTTTTTTTTTTTTTTTTTTTTTAACTCACAGAAGATGGAGGGTCTCCTGTTGTTTTAGAAGAAGATGAACTGGAGATAGAGTTGCAGAAACAGCTAGACAAAAGCAGGAGATTGAAACAGATCCAGCAGCAGAAGGACAGCAGTGAGAAGGTGAACATTTGTTCAACTCCAATGGCCACTCCTCATATGGCTACTAGAGGTGCTTCTTGTGGCAGTGACATACAGTGTGCAGCACTGGCATCCAGTGTCTCCACACTCTGCATGGAGACACTGAACTTTCCTTGTAGAGATGTACTGATTTTTCTATGAGAAGATGCTGATTTGGCCTGAGCAGCATTTGGCTTCACCCCTAACCCACCTCTTTGGCTGAGATCATCAGAATTGACAATATCAGCCAATCCAATGCTTTCATATTGGAAAGAATTGTGATTGGCTGAGATCCCTTCTGATGATGTCAGTCAAGGAGGGAGATCAGGGATGGAGCCAGCATCAGCAGACTGGAATATAAGTTAGATTTTACTGTATTCAGCGGGCTAGATACGTTTTGTGTTCCTGATCCTATAATGTTCATTTAAGCTTTGCGCTTTGTAAAATATTATGCCCTCTTTAGTAAAAAGTCGTCCTTTTTAAATATTTGTATACCTAAAAACGTAAGGTAAATTAAATAAGTAAAAACAAGGAGATGTAGATAGACAAAAAATAATTAGTATAAAACAAAACCTGCAACATGACAAATTCTTGTAGGTTCCAATTTAACCTCCCTTTGATTGGCTTTTTTTTTCTCAAGTCACAACGTCTGATATTTTGTTTGCATTTTCCTCTTAGATTGTGACTTTGGTGAAGAAGTTGGACACTCCAACAGGTCAAGAAATAGATGAGGATGATGATGACAAGAAAGGATCTATTGTGTTTAATGCAACATCTGAGTTCTGCAGAACACTTGGTGAAATTCCGACATATGGCCTTGCAGGAAACAGGGAGGATCAAGAGGATTTGATGGTGTGTACAGGTTGATCAAGTATAGGCACTTGGCTCACTTGTGATTGTTACCATGTAAGCGGTGAGTTCTACACGATCTTATCTTCTGTCAGTCATCACATTGTCTTTTTGCTCCTCAGGACTTTGAGAAGGATGAGGAGGAGTCTGGAAATGAGGGTGGAGATTCTGATGGGGATGAAAACCTTGGCTGGAGCATGGTGAACCTTGATGAGGAAAAGAACCAACAAGATGTAAGTCGTATTTAATTGTTTTAATGATCAATTAGAACGTTGATTTTTGGACAACTTTTGTGTACAGTGTAAAGTCATGTAAAAGGCGTGACTGTGAATCTATTGGATCATGTCACATCTGCCAGTCACAGACTTTCAACACAAATCACTCTATTGTTAGTCACTCTACAGCCACACTCCACCACCATAACAAAACTATCTCAATTATATTCTTGCCTTTACTGCCTTCCCATGCAGCAGCTTCACTAATTGGGAAGGATTGGCTGGACAGTTGTGGTAGACTGAGAGCGTAACCTTCCACGGTATTATTATTTTTTTATTCTGCTGAAACGTCAATTCTAATTTCCCCTCTCACTTTCAGTATTCAGCCTCTTCCACTACCATCTTGGATGAAGAGCCAATTGTGAACCGAGGTCTTGCTGCTGCTTTACATTTGTGTCAAAATAAAGGTAAACATAATTCCAATGTTAATTCTGCTTAATTTAATACCTGTGTAATGCATGGAGTAAATGTCAATTTTGTGAGAATTGCAGCAGTTTCAGACCGTTGCAAGCTCAGTGAGCACCAGGGCACAAATTACCCATACCATGAATGCATTGTGATGTGTTTTTTTCTTTTTTTTTTTTAATTCTTTATTTTAGTGTGCAATAAAAGAATAACATACAAGCTCACATAGCCACGACAGCATCCGCGGGCTTATTATGGTCAAACATTTGCATATATTGCCATGACATTTGAAACAATTGCACTTTTTTTTTTAGTGTAAAGAAACAGGCTGAATTATAGATTGTATTGTAAGACTTAGAAAAATACAGACTAGAGACCCTACGTTAGTAAAAGGTAGAGTATACAAGCTTAAAACAGGGATTTATATGACGAGTATTTTACAAGGAGAGTGAAACAGATGTCTTTTCTACGAGTTTAACCTCTAGGGGGCCCCCCATTTAGCTAGGAACATGTTCCCAGCGGGAGATAGGAAAATATGGACATGCTGACAGTGGAGTCAAATGCGTGGCATTGCCAGAAGGGAGACCTGATCTCAGCTGTGATTTTTAAATCTATGCGTTGTGTGGTTGCATAACTAATAACCTGCACGGCTAGGCAGTGCAATATGAGTTTAGTTGTTCCCAGTTCAATGAAAAAGACATGTTTAGATATAGAACTATAAATAAACTTCAAAATATTTATACCACTGGGCCCAAGGATACAACAATAGAACGAACAAGCTGGCCCCGCCACAGTAGCTGTTGCAGGCCGACACTCTGACGGGATTTAACAGTCGCATGGCATAGAAAATCAGTGCTTATTTTATGTTAATTTTCAGAGTATGGGACAGGTTGAGAGATGGACAGGCTTTCATAATGTAACTTACTGATAGCTTAATTGTATGCTTGCCTGCTTAAGGACATGTTAGATTAACCTATGCGAGAGTAATCAGGTATTAAGTGGCATAGAGGTATGCATTAAACCTTCCACAAGAGTGATAGCAATCGGTGCACAGTGGGATGTACAGTTGAAGATCGTGTGTTATATGATATTGTTGACATCTCCGTGTATGGTTATGGCAGGTTGGATTTAGCAGGCAAGGTACATTTCCTAAGTACACATTAGCATAGTATGAATTATGTTCTGGTTGTCGGCTATATTGGCATACCACGCTATTAAATGCAAAGCAAGCCTGCCCTAACTATCTCAGGCATACAAGTAAAGTCTGTATTGGTGCTGCAGTTAGGTTTGGATCTTTAGGCTTATAGGCATAGGACTAGGTAAGCTAGGGACTGTTCCTTGACAATAGTGATCGTGGGTCTTACTTACGTAGGACCTGCTGGGCTAGTGATAGACATGTTATAGTGTACCTACATAGGCTGCGGGGCTCAGAAGGACAAGAAGCAGCGCTAAGCCATGCTTATGATTAAAGTATCATTGCTTCATAAACTAACATTGCAAATGAGCTTAACCGGCAATCTGTGTGTGCTTTCGCCGTAAGTAATTGTAAAAGTGTACGTCAGAATTTACTAGTCAATGAGGAGCAGGAGTCCACCACTTTCAATATGGTCTGCAATGTCCTCCGTGCCAGCAGCCTTGCCGCGGTATGCCATCAGGCACCTCAGGTCTTCGCCTTTCTTCACCCAATACCCTGTCTGTGGGGAGGTCGCTTGCCGTGCAGCCGCTCGGTCTCTTGCTTTGTGGCCTTGGTCACAGGGAGCTGGGTCGTGTTGTGCCGAGCAGAGGGGAGCTGGCTTGGAGAGGCCTTTGTTGGTGCCGCTGGTAGGTAGGGCTCAGTTTTGTGTAGTAGCCAGTGTGTACCTGTTTCTCGGAGACATCGTGCTTGAGAGGGAGCGCCGGTGCCCGAGGGATATGTCGCCTTTTCCCGCCATCTCGTTTTACGGTACGCGATGTGTCGGCCTTTGGTTGTTAGGACCACTGAATGAGGAGTAGATTGGGCCTTGATTCTGGGCTTGTGCATGTGAGTTTCGGCTCTCGAGGGACCCGGCACTGTCTCTCGCCCCTCCGAGCTTCGGCTCTGATGCTGTCTGGAGGCCGCTCCGGCTCTGCGAGGGGAGTTCCATTGTAAGATGCGTCGGGTGGTCGGGCGTATCCACGCTGCCACCTCCCTCATCGCCAGCCTGTAGGGTTGTCTCCGGGCTTTAAGTTGTGCCCAGAAATAGGTGCGTAGCCGGTCAATGAAAACCCTTGTGTGCTTGGGTGGCTTGATGCATGTGTGCTGGGTCCCAGCCCTCGTCCGCGCCGCCATCTTGGCTGGGCCTATGAGGTCCCGTTTGAGTGAAGGTTTTGTCGCTTGATCGGGTGTACATGTGGGGGTAATCGTCCCCAGCGAGGACCGGGATGTCCCCCACCAGTCCAGAGGGGGGGGGGGGTAGCAGAGCTGTAATGGGCTTAGGAGCGTGTCCCGTGCCAGGAGATCGGCCGCCTCCCCCGGTCCTCAGGCTCCGCTCTAGTATAGACCGCATGTTCAGTTTCAGTTTTTCCGCGGCGCACTGGTGCCGGACAGAAATCATTTTGTTCCTGATGCCATTGTGCGTCTTGTACCGGTCCCTGTTTGCCGCTAATGCTTGTATATCGGTTGGTATCTTTACTCTTTTGTCCAGTGCTGCAGGAGCTCATAAAATGTGCAACCGGCCATGTTAGCTTTCAGGCCCTGCCCCCACTGTGATGTCTTTTTGCTGGACATTTTCCAAACAAGGTTTTCAAAATAGACCTTTCAGGAAATGACGTACGATACAGAGCCACTAACTGGGAACGACAGTGCTTTGTTTTTTTTTGTATGCCTAAATCTTTATAGTTTTTGAACACACAAAAAATGTAAATGTTTTGCATAATGCTGCACCTTAATTTTTCCTCTTAATCACACCCCTTATGCCAGAAAAACTTTTTTTGTCAAATCTATGTACATAGTTTCAGCCCCAACAGCGCTGAGTGGGCTACTTTTAATGCACACTTGGCTGCAGACAGTCAGAGAAACTACAAACAGGTAGTCATATCTTTACTATATGTCTCCTTGGGTGTCCTCTCCTTCTAATGCAGGTTGTTTGTAGTTCAAATCATGCAGTACTGTTTATGGACCGAGTCTTGTGCATATATTTAATAAGGAAGTATTTTTCTGAAGTGGGGCGGAAGATGGGGAGGGGGCGGGCAAAGAGGCAGGCTTATGGTGGCGCAGTCTGGGGAATTTTTTTAATTGGTTTTTCAAAATATAGATACAGTAAAGAAAAACAAATAGATATTTGATAGTCGTCTGATTACAAACAGCAGAGCAAGAGGTTATATAAAAATAGCTTCTGGAAATGCAGGTGGATAATTATGTACCTCAACGCATCATTAAAGCTAACTGTACGTTGTATGTGTACTGCGTTTGGCACCGGGCGGGGTACGGTCAGCCCCTGTGGCTTGTTTTCCTAGTTTGTCCGTAGCCCAGTATCATGCGGGCATCTGTATGCTGCTTTTAACCCTTCGTTCACTAGAACATAAGTAATAAGTCCAAGTTTGCCATGTATCTTCATATTTGTCCAGTTACCTGCCTACCATCGCAACCTCTTCCTCCACGTGCTGTATCTCCTTGACCCTCCCCAGCCACTCCTGCTAAGTCAAGGTTCCTTGAGGTGCCAGTGCATCGAGATTTAGCGACCAGGCTGCTATGAGCAAGTGCTGCGAGAGAGTCTTCTTGTATTCTGAGATTTATAAGTTTGATTTATTCAGTAACCTCTCCACTGGGTTGAATGTTATGTCTTCGTCCGCTAACCGTGTCAGGGTGTCAAAGATCTTCTTCCAATAGGGGACTAGGCGTGGGCACTCCCAAAAGATATGAATGAGTACCCACTGCAGCCCCGCATCTCCAGCAGGTGTCAGCTGCTTCTGGGAAGTATTTGTGAATTTTCTGCGGTGTGTCATACAAATGGGTGAGTATCTTATAGTTTATCTCTTGGTATTTCGTTCAGCGAAAGCTGAGGTGCATGAGTTATTTGGGTCCATTCTTGATTGGAGAATGTTGTTTGGAGAGATTTTTCCCACGCATTCTGAAACGTTGAGGGAGGGCATTCTGTCTTCCGATAACAGAAAATACAGCACAGAGATGCTGCTGTGTAGAACCGTCTGTTTTGAGCAAATGTCCTCAATGGATACAAAGGCTACCGAGGCTTGAAAATGGCACAGTTAATGGTATGTGAAAGGACACCCACAGCTTTGGAGTCTATTGCCCACCAGTGTTTGTAAGGGAAGTAGCTTAGTTCCCTGACATAGGTCTGCGAGTTGGATATAGAAGCCCCTACCCAAGAAGTTGTGTTCCCTTGCCCTGGCCTGCTGGGAATTCTGGATTGTTCGAAGCTTGGCTGTTGTGAGGGCAAGTTTGAACCGAATTTGGTTCCAGGGTTTCAAAGTCGCCCCTATGAACGGCTGTTCAGTAATTCATCTCCTGGATGCAACGTCATAGAGCCATACCACCGCTGGAACGCTCCCACCCGAGATCTCCCGTTCCAGTGCATGCCACATTTTCTGGGAGTTTGCGTTGTACCATTCCACTATTCTTGCTAAATGGGTCGCTCGGTAATAACCCAGAAATTATGGTAGTCCCAGATCTCAGTCTTGCATAGGTCTCATAATTTGTGTCATCCGAAACAGAGGTCTATTGCCTTTCCAAATGAAGGATATTAATGCCGAGGTCAATGATTTGAAAAAGGCTGGCGGGAGGGCTATCGGAATTGTCTGAAACATATAGAGTATCCTGGGTAGCACGTTCATTTTGATGACGTTGATACGCCCGATCCAGGAAAAGTGTGGGATTGTCCAAGATTTCATGTCAGCCGTGAGGCGGGACAGCAAGGGCTGGAAGTTAAGTTGGTACAACAGTCATAAGTCTCAGGGGTCTGGGAAATTTTTTTATATTTTTCTTTTGTGCAAATAACTATAAAGATTTGATTCATTTATCTTATTGTGTTTTAGCATGCATTTAGAAATAGATTTAATTTTTTTAATTTTGTCTTCCTCATCATCATTGCCCCTGTTATATTCCTTAACCTATTAAAATGTGTTAAATATCTATTCTATAATGCTCTCTCCTCCACAGGTCTGTTAGAAACAACTGTACAGAAGGTTGCCCGTATAAAAACATTTACCAAATCACTTCCATCTGCTGTCTACTGCATAGAAGACAAAATGTAAGTGACCGATATGGAGTACCTTGCTTAAAAAGTTGACTACATTTTGGTTCTAGCTGTTTTTACATATTTTTAATGCCTATAACAATACCATCACTCTCCTTGTACAGGGCTATAGATGATAAGTATAGTAGAAGAGAGGAGTATAGGGGGTTCACACAAGACTTCAAGGAGAAAGAAGGTTACCGGCCAGATGTCAAGATAGAATATGTAGATGAAACTGGAAGGAAACTCTGTCCCAAGGAGGTGAGTTTTAACACTTTATTTCCATTATTCTCACTTATGAGAGTGTTGTTTATTTTTTTTAATTATAATTATTCTTATTTTTATTTATTTTGTTTGCCTCAGGCTTTTCGGCAATTATCTCATCGATTCCATGGGAAAGGCTCTGGTAAAATGAAGACTGAGAAACGCATGAAGAAGCTTGATGAGGAAGCGGTAAGTCAAAAGGGATACGATCAGAGTTGTCAAACTAGAAGATGGGTGCATGATAATCCATTTCCTGTATGGGCTTTGGTTGCATCTGTGAGTTAATTGTATGTTAATCTCCAGCCAATACCAACTGAGTATTAACTGCATAACTCTGCTTACAGGGGCCTAGCAATATGTCTTGTATACCCACAAGTTCTTATACTGTAGTTATACGGTTTATTGGTATTTTTTTTTGTTTGTTTTGGCCGAGACTGTGTTTATTATAGGACACATGATCATTAAATATACTATACTCTAAAAACAAACGATAATTACATTTAGAGCTAATGTTGATGAGGGATTAATGGCTATAGACAAAATTTTCTGCTTGCTTTTGCTGGATGTATGTACTTATAGCTATCATGTCTCCCCTGTACTTCCAGCTTCTGAAGAAGATGAGCTCCAGTGACACACCTCTTGGTACTGTAGCATTGCTACAGGAGAAGCAGAAAGCTCAGAAGACCCCATATATTGTGCTCAGTGGAAGTGGAAAGAGTATGACTGCGTAAGTAACAGAGTTCAATATACATTAACTAGGTTACATTTTGTGTATTTCATCTATGTGCTAAGCACTTAAAATTGTGATATAATTGGGCGAAGGTGATAAATATTGTTTGACAGACAGACACTTGGCCTCTCCTTTTATGGTTTTGGGGTTCTTTTTTCCCCATGATAAGACAACAGGTTTATTGAAGTGGGGGGAAAAAAACTGGTATTGTGAGGTAAAGTGCTAAATCGGGGTTGTAGTCGCCATGGAAGTCATTAGAAAACCTCTGTTGCACCCAAGGTAGTAATTGTCTTACATTGATAATTCACCCATAAATGCATGCTTTTTCACAGTAGCAAAAACCTAAACTGTAGCACACTTGTATTTTCTGCCTCTAGCAAGGAAAAGGTTTTAAAAAAGGTTACTGCTTGATATATTTTGGGTATGAATTACCTTTTGTCACATAAGCAGTTAAAAGGAGAACTAAACCAAGGCTTTGTATTTCATATTTACTTATTCCTAATCATATAATATTTCCTAATTAATATGTATTTTTGCAATCCGTCTTACCTCCCTGCCAATCATTGTTATAAGCTCTATTCTTTGCATCTGGCAGTAAACATAGACAAACCATGCAGAGAAGTGGAGAAATTAAATGTTTCTAAGTCTTTTCTTCATTTGCCTTGTCTAAACTGGATTGTAAAGTTCTTAGCTACATTTTTAATGTAAGTTTAAAATCGAGCCTCTCGTGGAAAATAAAAAAGATTAACACATAAGTAATTTTCAGTTGTTTAAATTCCTGGGCAGCAACAGTTTCCTCTTTAAAATACGTTATAAATGTCTTTTTACATAAAATGTAATCCAAATGCGCTTTTTTATTTTTTTTTATTTCCTCTTCCAGGAACACACTCATTAAGTGAGGAGAGTAAAACGATCAGGTTTTAATATTCTATATTCTGACTGATGTACATATTCCTGGGATATCACCAGTACATAATCCAGTTTGGAAGCGAGGGGTTTTTAGACATCTGATCAGCGTCTTCAAGCCATTGGATGCCTTGATTCTGGTCTACATATGTAGGCCTCTTGGCTTCAAATTACAGAGCACCCACTGCATTTGAATTTTTTTTTTTTTTTTTTAATAAAGGACATTTAGAAGATTTGTACATTGCGTGTGCTGGAATCCAGAAATACTCCAATGTATTATAATTTTTTTTTTTTTTCCTAAGCTACACTTCACAATTGTTTTCAAATATGTAATAAAGACCTATTGTGAAATGTATTTGTGTATCGAGTTACAAGCTACACATTTGGTAGTTACTTGGATGTGAGCTCCAAGCATTGGGGACATGTTTCAATGCACACATTTGCTGTCTGTTTTCTTACCATAGAAAGACACTTTGCTAACATTATAGCAATACTTCAATGTTATGTTCCACGTTTGCAGCCAAAATATCCTTAAAACACAATACACTGGCTAGTGGTAATTTTGAGCCTTGTGTAAAGGGGAAGTCATCACTGGTAAGTGTGCCATTTATCCCTCCACTGCCTGTAAGACTTGCAGCTCCTGCATCTTCTACCATCCTCCAATCAGTCCCCATGACAGTGCTTGATGCAGCCATATTTTTTCTGCTCCTGGGAGTGCATCAGGGCTGCATAGATTCAACACTCACACAACAGCAGTGTTAAACAGAGCATTATATAAAAAAAAAGGAAAAACACAATTCTGCCATGGTAATCCAGGAAGGGTATAATTCTGGAATCTACAGTTACTAACATTGTATATACTGTGGAATGCTATGCAGGTCATTTGGGAGCAGTGAAGCTGCATTTGCTGTTGTCCTCTTAATTCAAAACCGTTGTAGATGTTATCCAATTTACACAACTCCCACACAAACGTCTGCTGAGGTTTAAGGGGTTTTTCCACTAAAGTGAGAATTTAAAGTGAATTTCAAATTTATGGTAACATTAGCCAAAATGTAAATACTCTTACCTATGCTTCCAGTTCAGCTGCTTTGGCCTTAAATTTGAAATTCACTTACTTCTTACCATGTTACTCTTTGATATCTTGACAGTGCACTGCAAAAATTACCCACAATGCCATCCATCAAAAACATCACTAAAATTATTAGAGCAGCCAACACTGTATACCTTTTTTACCTACCCATACCTCGTTACAGGGGTATGCAACCTTCAGCACTACCGAATTGCGTCCTAACACGAATGAAGAAACTTTTTTTGTTTCTCCATTTGTGTTCGGATTGAATTTCATTCAAATGAATGAATGAAAACTCAGATCCTACTCGTGCCACGGCTGCATCTTGTAGCCGCTTAGCTCCCTAATTCCCACGGTATCAGGGAGCTATCTGCTGAAAGGCCTAAATTGGTCATTTGGCCAAATTCAGTTTACTAAGTAAAGATTACTTAGTATTAGTAAATTCTGCCCCTACTCGCTATACTGTGAGTAGGGGCATGTCTATTAAACTGTTAAAACAAAAAAAATTAGTACCCCCCCCCCCCCCCATGAGAGTGGTGGCTATTAAACTAAAGTGGGGGGACCTAGCATAGAACCTTAAATGTGAATGTGGGTGGGGGAACTATTGTCCTTCCCACCCCTGAGCAGCGGGTGGGGACCCTGAATTAAAATGTTACCCCAACCCAAGCCTCTAGTCACCCCCACCCCTAAAAAAAAACAATAAACCCCTACCTAACCCCCTCACCCTAAAAATAGTGAGGAGGAAACAAAAGAATAAGTACCTTTTACCATTTGATTTTTTATTTTTTTTTCCTCTAAAATCTACATTTTTCAGCCCCAAAAAAGGCCAAATACTATTGCTTTTCTTTTTTAAACCATGAGCAGCCACAGGCTGCTTACTGTTAAATAGACGTGCCCCTACTTGCAAGTAGGGGCAGATTTTTTTTTTCTTAGTATAAGTAAATTTGGCTGAAAGACCAATTTAGGTCTTTCAGCCTTTTGGTAGCTAGCTCCCTAATACTGTGGGAATTAGGGAGTTGTCTACTAAGCGGCTGCAAGATGCAGCCGCAACACGAATAGGATTGGAGTTTTTCATTCGAGTGAAATTCCAATCCAAACAAAGTGCCGAATTGCGTTATAACACGAATGGAGAAACTGTTCTCATTCTGTTAGGACGCAATTCGGTAGTTTTGCTGGCATTGTCTAAATGACCGGACGTTCGGGAAAAGTGAAAGGAGGCTTCGCGGGAACACCGAGGAAACGTGAGAATTGTGGGGAAATTGCTCTGACCACCGGAAATAAAGCACACCTTGTTCCTCCGCTGGTCAGATGGTCATGTGTAGGAAACCTCCATAAGACAAAAAATAGTCCCTACTTTGCTCTAGTTTTTAAAACATAAGACAGACAGGAAGAAATGAAGAACAGATCCTGAGAGAGGGAGAGAAGAGGAATCGATTAAAGAAAGGTAAGTTCGGCATGACAGTGCCACTTTAAATGAGCTCCATTTGCCACCTTGCAAAGTTGGGCTCTTTCAATTGCATTGTGCATAAGAATAGTTGTTTCTGCACAGATATTGTTTGTGTTACTCAAGTGTGCGTGGCTTATTTGCTCCTTCAGATATCCCCAAGGAAGTAATCAGGAGCTCGAAGGTCAATTAATATGGGAATTTCCTGAAATGATCTGCTCACTGAACAATTGTCAGTTTGCTGCTCATACTTGCAACTCTAACTCAAGTTCAAGACTCGTCTAATGTAGCCGAGTTGCTTTAGAAGTCCCTTTCCCAATTTACTGACTACCCCAGCCTCCATTACGTTTAAAACATTTTTTTACTATTGTTCCTTCCACTTAACTCTCCTCCAATTGCATCATCTAACATTTTAAGGACACCATAGTCACCAGAACTACATCTTATTGTATTTGTTCTGGTAAGTAGAATCATTCTCTTTTTGCTGTAAACACTGTCTTTTCAGAGAAAATGCAATGTTTACATTACAGCCTTGTGATAACTTCACTGGCCACTCCTTAGATGGCTGCCAGAGCTGCTTCCTGGGGCAGTGCTGCACAGTGAGCAGTACTGCCATTCAATGTCTTCACCCTCTGCATGCAGACATTGAACTTTCCTCATAGAAATGCATTGATTCAATTTATCTCTATAAGGAGATGCGGATTGGCCAGGGCTGTATTTGACTTGTGCTGGCTCTGCCCTTGATCTGCCTCAACAGTCTCAGCCAATCCTATGGGGAAATATTGTGATTGGCTCAGACCACCACTTCTAATGTCAGCAGCTGCAGACTTAAAGTAAGATTTTACTATATTTCAGAAGGCAAGAAGGGGGAGGGGCTAGATGGTGGCGTTAACACTATAGGGTCAGAACTACATGTTTGTGTTCCTGACCCTATAGTGATCCTTTAAGGTCTTATTTTATTGTGAACTCTTCCAGCAACCAACATTTTTCTATGTATGAAATACTTTTTCCCCACTCCCCTTAAAATGCAGATTCACATGAGCATGGGCCTCACTACCTTCTATTCGTGTACATCTGGCTCCGTTCATTAGTCCACTAATTGTACAGAGCTGCTGAATGGATATTATAACGTTGCATGCGTTATAAGTTTCGTTGGCACTTGTATTATCTGAGCCAAGAAATACTACTAGGGGCCCATGAAGTGGTGTTTAAAGATCTCACAGAACCAGTTCCTCAAGGATTCATTAGTCACATTTTAGTTATGTGTATAAACTACCAGTATTTTCATGGACTTATGACTTGGCTGGTTTTCAATTAATACATTCTCACATAAATCATAAAAAATGTAAACCTTTAAGAATGTCAACTATTTTAATTTCAAGTCTTATGCAAAAAAGAAACATACAGTAAACCTTTTTGCAGAATGCACTAAATTACCATAATATATTTAAATCAAGCTGAATCATAAATTTTACATCCAATTGTGGGAGAAAGAAGATATTATAAATATATATTGGATAAGTACTTTTTGTTACAGGACCCAGCTAAGGAGCTCCTGTTGCTGGAATGTGTCCATCTTTAATCAATGCCAATGGCTAAACAAACTTTTTTTTTTTTTTTTTTTATAAAAGCAGATGATTGACACCCTAGAAATGGCCTTGTCATAACAGATATTCATTAGCAAAATTATTTTACAAATGAACGAGCCTAAAGAGGAAACGCTCTAAATTGCGGTACTATTTCTTGCTCACAATAGTCTTTAGCACACAACATTTTGAAAAAGGCAAACTGATTCATTACATGTGTTCTATTTAACCAAAACACAAATTTAATTCCAAACACCTTCATTTCAGGCAATGTTTGAGATCTTAAGTTTCCAAAAATGATATTAAACAAGTTCCTTTCATGCTGCACCTGTGGCTGTATGGAGATCAGGTGCTAGGATCAAAACATTCTTCAGAATATATATTATTAAAAAGCATTACCTATAAAGAGAAGATTATTCATATCTTCAGGCGAACAAGCAAAAAAAAAAAAACATTAAAAAGATTTGGAACCACAGAAACGTTGACACAAGATTAAAGACTTATTTGGCCAATGTTGTGTTTAGTCCCACAGACTGAAGAGGACGATCAATTAAATCCAAATCTTTTCTGAAGATGAAGACCGATTCTGAATAGTTTTTTTTTTTTTTTTGGAATGTTCTAGATGTGCTTTTTTAAATTCAATTTTCTTCTCCATCACTTTCTGTTTCCTCGTCACTATCTTCATAGTGCACCCGATTGGTGTTCACAAAGAGTTCACTATCATCTTCAGAGTCTGTATCACTCTCATCGGTCTGACCTTTCTCAACCTCAGAAGCCTTGGGCTCAGTCTTTTGGTGGCTGTATTTGAAAGACCAAAAAAAAAAAAATGTACTTCTGCTTGAATTATCACAATTCAAGATATATATTCATTACTACTAGTAAAAATAAATTCCTTTTTGACATATTCCTTATACTACATCGACCCAAGCATTCCAAAACATCAAAGAACATTTTTCCTATTAGAAAAGGGATTATAAAACTAAAGGATCTCTCCAAGCAACAAAACCACTTTATGTCAATGAAGTAGCTATGGTGTCTGGAATCCACTGGCTTCTTCTTACCTTTTAGTGTTAAACCACTATCAAGTGGCATCTTCCAGTTATCGGTAGGGATTCCTCTCCTCTTTCAGCTTGCAAAGAGAGAAAGACAGACTGGGGGACTCTACAGGTGATACTCGAAAAATTAGAATATCGTGCAAAAGTTCATTTATTTCAGTAATGCAACGTAAAAGGGGAAACTAATATATGAGAGACGCATTACATGCAAAGCAAGATAGTTCAAGCCGTGATTTGTCATAAGTGCAATGATTATGGCTTACAGATCATGAAAACCCCAAATCCACAATCTCAGTAAATTAGAATATTGTGAAAAGGTGCAATATTCTAGGCTCACAGTGCCCTACTCTAATCAGCATTGACCCTTCCATAAGGAGAGAAAGCCTCAAAAAAGGTAATTGCGAAGGAAGTTGGATGTTTCCAAAGTGCTGTATCAAAGCACATTAATAGAAAGTTATGTGGAAGAAAAATGTGCACAAGCAGCAGGAATGACCGCAGCCTGGAGAGGATTGTCAGGAAAAGGCCGTTCAAAAGTGTTTGGGACTTTCACAAGGAGTGGACTGAGGCTGGAATCAGTGCATCAAGACCCACCACACACAGACTGATCCTGGACATGGGCTTCAGATGTCATATTCCTCTTGTCAAGCCGCTCCTGAACAACAAACAACGTCAGAAGCGTCTTACCTGGACTAAAGAAAAACAGACCTGGTCTGTTGCTCAGTTGTCCAAAGACCTTTTTTCTGATGAGAGCACCTTTTACATCTCATTTGGAAACCAAGGACCCAGAGTCTGGAGGAAGAATGGAGAGGCACACACCGCAAGATGCTTGAAGTCCAGTGTGAAGTTTCTACAGTCTGTGTTGATTTGAGGAGCCATGTCATCTGCTGGTGTTGGTTCACTGTGCCTCATTAAGTCTAGGGTCAATGCAGCAGTCTACCAGGAGATTTTTGAGGACTTCATGCTTCCTTCTGCAGACTAGCTTTATGCGGATGCTGACTTCATTTTCTAAAGCCTGGTTCAATGACCGCGGGATTACTATGCTTAATTGGCCAGCAAACTCACCTGACCTGAACCCCATGGAGAATCTATGGGGCATTGCCAAGAGAAAGATGAGAGATATGAGACTGAACTATGCAGAAGAGCTGAAGGCTGTTATTGAAGTATCCTGGTCTTCCATAACACCTCAGCAGTGCCACAGGCTGACAGCTTCCATTCCACGCCGCATTGAGGCAGTAATTGCTGCAAAAGGGGCCCAAACCAAGTACTGAGTCCATATGCAGGCTTATTCTTTTCAGAGGTCCGATATTGCTCTATGTACACTCCTTGTTTTATTGATTGCATGTAATATTCTAATTTACTGAGATTGTGGATTTTGGATTTTCATGAGCTGTAAGCCATAATCATCGCACTTGAACAAATCACAGCTTGAACTATCTTGCTTTGCATGTAATGTGTCTATCTCATATATTAGTTTCCCCTTTTTCATTGCATTACTGAAATAAATGAACTTTTGCACGATATTCTAATGTTTTCGAGTATCACCTGTATGTGATAAACTGCCCAAAAACATAAAAGGACCACTAATTCCACTAAATTCCAATGAAGTGACCTGGTGTAGTGGTCCTGTTTTGTTTTTAGAAACTGCACTGTTTACAACTAGCCCCCTGGCATAAAAGGCGATTATATCTCTAAAAAAAAAAAAAATCACTGAAATTGTCATGGTGGCAAATAAAAGGATAAGCAAGTTTTACAAATGTATTCATAGATTACTTAATATTGTTTAGATTTCAATCACCCCTTTCAATATTTGAATATTGTTTTTAATTAGAAATATATTCATACCTCTGTTTAGGTTGATTCACAAGTTCGGTCTTCTCTTCGTTAAACCCTGATGGCCTGCGGAAAAAAAACTAAAGATTTGAGGAACCAAACACAGAGTAAAAAATAGTAGATTTTAAGGGTGGGGGAGGGGAAGAAGAGGGAAAATAAGAACACACTCTGGAAAGTAACATTAAAATCAATTATTTTTCCTTGAAACTACCTAGTGACAAATGATGGGAATGAGTAAATTTTCCACATTGCGACAAAATTTGAAACTTTTCTTTACAAAAAGAAAACATCTCACCAGAATCCTTCCTTCTGTAGAAGACGTTGATGATCCTTATAAAGGATGAAAGCTATTTCTGCCCTCACTTTCTCTCCCTCGGCAATAGGGTCCACAATTAGGTAATCTCCTGTTGAGTGAAACATTTCTAATGTAAATAACGCTTTAATCTGCATCACCATTTCAGCATACTGCAAAATCTGATGCATGGAATGTAAACATTGTTCATATTTGTACACATTCACATTTACCAAATTTCCCTACAAATATAAGGCCAAAACTTGTGATACAGACAATATTAACATCACACAGATTTAATAAGTAATACGGTCATATACCTGATTAGTCCCTCTTGTGCCATTTTTGTGGGCAAAGACTGACTGATAAGCTGCATGCAACACTGAAAGTCAGCATAATTTAAATACCAATTGATAGCAATGCGCTGTGAGCAGGGTTAAATACCTGCACACACCAGGGAGACACAGGTATCAATTGATAACCAGCAACGGTTTCTATTATTTATAGGGAGAATATAGGACATTATAACTTTGATGTGCTGGCAGTGAAGCCAGCATGTTCTCATCAATAGGGAGAATCGCTGTGTTTGGGAAATTGTCCCCAAGCAGTGCTGATCACAGGATATGGGAGGTAGGCAGAAATGGAGTGTGCATGTCACAGTTACTACATTAGGAGTTGCTATAGGTAAAGATGAAAGAGGCATAACAGGTACACTTTAAAGGAACACGCCAGGTCATGCCTTTCCTACCCTTCAGACTTTCTCCCAGGCTACTGATGAAGAGGTGGCTGTGCTTCTCCTTTCCTCTCAAACCACCACTTGCCTGCTTGATCATGTCCCGTCTCATCTGATCAGATCTCTCTACTCTTGTCTTGTGCCTTCCTTAACACACATCTTCTACTGCTCTCTCTTCTGATGTTGTCCCTGCTGCCCTTAAACATGCTACTGTAGTACCCATCTTAATAAAACAACAGTCCTCCCCTTCTAACTATCGTCCCATATCTCTGCTCCCTTTTTCATCAAAGCTTCTGGAAAGACTTGTCTTTACCCATCTGACTTGATTCCTCAATTCCAACTCTCTCCTTGACCCTCTTCAGTCTGGCTTCCGCCCCCTCCACTCTACTAAGACTACTCTTATTAAAGTCACTAACGACCTAATCGCAGCTAAATCCAAAGGGCAGTACTCTATACTAATTCTTGTTGACCATGTTCTCCTTCTCCAAACTCTTCAATCACTTGGTGGCTGTGACACTGTACTCACTGACATCTCTCTCCCAACGCTCATTTAGTGTCTCCTTTTCTAATGATCCCTCCCTTAGTCCTGTCTCTGTTGAAGTCCCCCAAGGCTCTGTACTTGGTCCCCTTCTATTTTCTCTTTATACTGCCTCTCTTGGATTCCAATACCATCTGTATGCTGATGACACTAAGATATAGCTCTCCTCCCCGGACCTCTCCCCTGTTGTTCTGCAATGTGTCACTACTTGCCTTTCTTCCATCTCTGATTGAGTTTCAAAAAGCGGAAGGACATCCAATCTCCTTAAGACTGAACTCCTCATCTTTCCTCCTCCTTATACTGATCCCCCTCTTTCGCTTTCCCTTCAATTGAGGGGTACCCACATCAGTCCATCCTTGCAAGTGCGCTGTCTTGGCATTATACTTGATTCTGGCCTCACATCCAATCTGTTACCAAATCCTGTAGATTCCACCTTAAAAACATAGTCTGCATCCGCCCCTTTCTTACACAAGATGCTACTAAAAAGCTTGTCCGTGCTCTAGTAATCTCTCGCATAGATTATTGTAACTCTCTTTCCTAATAGGTCTTCCCACAAGTCGTATTGCCCCATTACAGTCTGTAATGAATGCTGCCGCCAGACTGATTTTCCTCTCTAGTCGGTCTTCTCACACCTCTCCCCTCTGTCAGTCCTTACATTGGCTTCCTGTATCCTATAGGAGTCAATTCAAGGTACTAATCCACATCTATAAAAGCACTGAACAATTCTAGCCTCTCCTACATTTCTTCACTGATCCGCAGGTATGCACCTTCTTGGTCTCTCCGCTCTGCTGCTCTCACCCGTACAGCCAAATCACGCTTGTAGGACTTCTCACGGGTAGCTCCTTTCTTTGAAATAGCCTGCCTATGACAATCAATTTCTCCCCTAGTCTTCAATCATTTAAAAAGTGCCTCAAAACCCATCTCTTTGGGAAAGCAAATGGCCTCCTCCTCACATACCTGTCACTTGCTCTCTCCTAAAGAGCAGCACTCTACTCTCTCCTGCAGCTCTGCTTCACGGCACCTTGTTTGATTGCTACCTCCTGTCCTGTTGGGTTTTACGCCCCACCTCCTATAGACTGTAAGCTCGTTTGAGCAAGGCCCTCTTCAATCAATGGCCGCACATTAGACTTCCCCATAGGAAAGCATTATTCAATGTTTTCCCATGGGGATTTCGGCAACGCTGGAGGTCCTCACATAGCGTGATGACGTCCAGCTTTGCTTAAAACACTTTTCGTGTTCTAAGAACACGGAGGTCCCTCTAATGGCTGTCAGACAACCATTAGAGGAGGACTTAACCCTGCAAGGAAAATATTGCAGTTTATGAAAACTGCAATAATTACACTTGCAGGGTTAAAAGGTAATGGGAGTTGGTACCCAGACCACTCCAATGCGCAGAAGTGGACTGGGTGCCTGGAGTATCCCTTTAAATCTCTCCCTTTGATAATATTGTAAAGCGCTACGGAATATGCTGGCTTAATAAATACCAGTAATAATAATATTTCATAACAGTGGAGTGATTAAAATACAATGTACGCCCCTGCCTCCCCCCCAAAAAAAGAGTTAACATACCTCTAATCAATTACTAATATAACTACTACTGATATCTCTGCCAATCCAGTACTACCCATAGAGAAGCATTGGGAGGCAGGGCACATGTAAGGGAATCACATTATTGTGCCAGCAATATGTCTCATAAAGAAGTATTGAAACCAGTGCTGGTCTACAAGAACCCCTTACGCTCTGTGATAGGGAAGAGCCAGGAGGGAGCAACCAAGAAACGTCTTGAAATCAGCACTTTTATAAAGTAAGAAGGAGGTGACACTCTGTTAGCGCCTAATGCTCTCTAGCAAGCTTCAAGCATTACTGAATGGCAGTCTCCAGTTTTCTTCAAATTGAAGCTAGAACATGTCATATTCACAGCTTCAAATAAAACCCACAAATTACTTAAGCAAGTGAAAAAAAAAAAAATCAATAAAACATTGTACACAGATGTGGAAACGGTATTACCTCGCTTGATCCAAATGTTCTTTCTAAATTTTGTTGGCATACTCGCAAGGAACTTTTCGCCCTCTGACGTCTGAACCTCATGAAGATTGTTACCAGGACTTCCCAAAACCTGACAATACAGAGAAACAAAGATGAAAGAGTGTGCCATATAAAAGTTAAATACCCTACAATGTAATAGGTTACTGAGATGCTTATAGTAGTGACATTATATCACCGTTACACTTAAAGACTCAGAATGAGAAAAATAATATGTATTATATCCTATACCTACTGTAATAATTTGTTACGCTCTTTTTATTTTCCCCAGTTCCAGTTATACTGTCCTGCCCACCTAAAACTGAACATATTGATAACAGTGTTATTTATAAAGTGACAATTCAACGTGAATTCTAAATTAAAGATCGATCTAGCCAAACTGGAAAAACTAAGTCAGCTTTTCTTTCACGGCAGCTACTTTGGCCTTACATTTGAAATTTACTTTGAATTTCCCACAAAAGTAAATAACATGTCAAATGTGTATGGCATCTGAGAAATAAGGAACAGAGATACTACAATCACCTGTTATGTGGTTTGTGCCAGATTACACTTCCTCTAACTTCTACAAACTTCCTCCTTCCAAGTATCGGGATCAGTCAGTGGAGAGTCACCTTCGCTCTTGTTTATGAAAAACTCATAATTAGATGTAAAAATGTATTTATTGTTAAACAATGAAACTGATGAAGATCCAAACTGTGCAGTATTCATCTATAAAATTATATATATATATATATATATATATATATATAGTAGTCCGGTAGTTTTAACCGTGCAATGTAAAATCATTGCTTTTTTTTTTTTTGCAATGTATTTGGCAAGGTTAAATCCTCTTCTAGCAGCTGTCCCTAAAGGCACTTCCATCTGCAGCAACAGAGTAAAACTTGGTCATGTGACTGCAGCCCACATAGGAAGTTATTGGTCCATTGACTTTATTGTTTCTAAAACTTACAAATAAGAAAATATAGGAACCCATAATTTCTCTCAGCAGCCTGCTCCAGTGTGAATCATTGAGTTAAGACAACAAATTAAAGTACTGTAACCACAGTATGCTTACCCTCACTATGCGCTGGTTCTCCGTTGGCTGTACATAGTCACATAGAACTTCTTTTACCACGTGTTTTCTCTTAGTGGCTTTTGACATAATTACAGATTTCAATTATACTTTTATATGCATGAAAAAAATATCCACATAGAAAGAAACTAGCTGAAGTTTCATTGAATTCCTTTGAAATCTGAAAATGCGGTTGCTGTAGTCTCAGCTATAGCGCAAGAATCAAATGTGTTCTTCAGTCTAAAAGCAAAATAAAAAATAGCATAAGCACATGTAATATATCCAGACAAATTTATGCTTGTTTGTACCACAATAATGTCCACAGAACTTACTGTCTCACTATCTTTAATATTGCTTGGTGATCAAGCTGGAGTGATATGGAACAGTACCGAACATTGACCAAGATGTCTGTCATATTACCCATGGTTTTTCTGCTGCTCTAAAAGGTTGGCTATCACTGTTATATTCCACAGCTAATGGCAAAAAGGGTGTATGAACACAGATCAATTCACTAGGTAACATATCTCGAATAGTCATGATAAAATAAGATATTCCAACGGTGTGAATAGCATTACTTACACAGCAGTTTTAGACAGCAGTTTCCAGAATGCTGTGCAACACAAGTATATAATGTAGGAATGTGGACATTTTTCATTTGGTAAAACCGTTTAAAGGGTTACTCCAACCACCATGACCATGAAGAGGTTATTGTGGTAGGTGCACTTACGGACTTATTTTTAATTGTGTGCTGGGGACAAGTTGCACCACCAGCACAGAACTCTGTTCGGGCTGTATAATGTCAATTCGGTGCATATTTCACATTTGTCATCAGCATGCACTGCACACTGTCGAGACATAGCTTCTCCTTTGCTGAAGATCCTGCAAGGGGAACTCTGGTCTCCCATAATGATCGTATCCTTCTCCTCTGATAGTTTCACCCTCCCACCCCTCGCTGACTCAGAGCATGCACCATAACGACTACAGCCAGCAGCAAATATGAGTAGAAGAGGTGTATCCAAAAAACTCCAGCCTCTAGCGAATGGCAAAATTCAAACTAAAGTAGTCAAGCTGAACTAGAGCTCATGATAACGTTTCATAATCATAACTTTTTGCAATAGGTTTTACAATTAACGGCAATTACTGGGTGGGGACACTGCTGCGGTAAGAAAGTCATCACAAGAGCCAACAAAACATCCTCAAAGCTCCAATATACAGCACATGGCTCCTACCTGCTTCCTGGGGAGCTATACAGCATCAGTCTGAGTACACAGACACAGCACAAGCACGTGCACGCGCCAGTTCCCTGACATTTACTGCTTTACCTTCAATTAGTGAATCGGTTTTTCTCTATGGACAAGCTGGTAGGAGTGAGAGCAGCGAATAACTTCAACACAACCTGTTTTCGGAGTACCAATATGGCGGCCTCGATGAACGCGGAGTAGTAGCATGGCGGAATTGTACTTCCGGGTGAGGGCATGCAGGGAGTCACGTTTCCTGTTAGTCGTGATCAGGGTGAGCATTTCGGAAGTAGTATTTTTTTTTTTTCTAATTTGCAGCCGTTAGCCAGCTTGGCGGGAAGGAGTTAGTGCTCTAGAAGGTGGGTTTATTCATACACACTAAATATCAACAGTTATCATTTGAATAGATTAGTATTGGATCCAGGGGGAGTTTGGAACTCTCCAACATTCTTAGGATTCCACTGCTTTTCCAGGCGGTTCTATTCCTAGCTCCGCTATTTTCAACCTTTACAAATAGACCTCGTGGCTATTCAGTAAATTGCTGCTAGAATTGGGGAGAATTCAAAGTGAATTGTTCATTTCAGGCCACCATTACCGATCCAAAAGCATTTTTGGTTTCGCTATCGTGACCCAAAATGTATAGTTTACTTTGAGTTCCCGTGACACTGCACGCAAGTGAGTAACTCTGATTATATCGAGAAATAAATAGTGTATTTCCTGTGATTTGATCATTTTCTGCAAAGACTCAAAAGTTGGTTTTATTCTGGGTTATTCATATACCCACAGTACACGGGGTTATTCCATACACCCACCACGACTTCCTTGTCATTTTTAGTTTTGTTTTGAGTTTTTTGTAATTTTCTATAGTGTAAATTTGAACTACATCACCTTTCTCTGCAAATCAGTTTTCAGCTTGCTGAGCACTTTATATAAAGCGCTGTAAAAAGCTCGCTAAAGGTCCTCTGGTGCTTTAGGCTTTAGTACTGGTATATGATTTGTGTTTTCTTTCTCCCACTTGTACAGCACTTCAGTGTACTTCGCTATATATATAACAGTAGCTGTTCTTTGAATTTTCTTTATAAGCATACTTTTGTTGGTATAAATAGTGGGGATTTTTATGGGTTTTTGTTATTAATTTAATTGATGTAAAGGTACAATGTGGAGCTTTTCTTGGGTAATGTGTGGTTAATTTGAAATGTTGATTTATGTAATTTTAATGCGAGCTGTAATCATGTGTTATGAATCTTAGAGTAACCATTTAAGTTTAAAGGACCACCATAGTGTCAGGAAAACAAACTCGTTTTTCTGTCACTATAGGGTCATTAGGTCCCCCTCACTCCCGCTGGGGTGAAGGGGATAAAACCATTTAAGCCACTTACCTTTAAAGCACTGGGCTCCCTTGGCACTGGTCAACTCTTCTCCCCCTGCTGATGTCGGATCCGAACGCGCATTCGCGGCAAGAGCCACGCGCATTCAAACCGCCCATACGAAAGCATTACTCAGTGCTTTCCTATGGACGTCCAGCATCTTCAAAAATCGCAGTGAGATTCGCGGAAGCGCCTGTAGCGGCTGTCATTGAGACAGCCACTAGAGGCTGGATTAACCCTCAGTGAAACAAAGCAGTTTCCCTGAAACTGCTATGTTTTCAGCTGCGGGGTTAAAACTAGAGGCCTGGCACCCAGACCACTTCATTGAGCTGAAGTGGTCTGGTTGCCTATAGTGGTCCTTTAAGTATCCTTTATCATGCCATCTTTCCATTTTGTTCCTTATCAGAAGGGAGTATTTATAATTTTTGCTTTTATTGATGGGCTTAAAGCTTATAAAGCATCCTGTCCCGTCATGTTCTTTAGATTATGATAATGATCTATATTACTTAGGAATTTACAAACTGACCATTTTAATTATCCAGCCATACTTTCTGGGACACTAGGCACCCACTTCAGCTTATTGAAGTGTTTTGGGTGAAGCTTCCCTTAACCTTGAGCATTTAGTTATTGCACTTTTTATAAACTGCAATAATTACCTGCTAGGGTTATCTCCTCCTCTAATGGCTGTCTACCAGACAGCCACTGGTGGATAGGCGACTTTTGGTCGCCTAAATGAAGCTGGCAGTCCTCATGCTATGCAGTTTGTTTTCCTGGCACTATAGTTTCCCTTTAAATGTACACTATAGTCACCAGAACAACTACAGCTTATTGCATTCTGGTGAGTAAAATCATTCCCTTCAGGCTTTTTGTTGTAAAGACTGGCTTTTCCGAGAAAATGCAGTGTTTACATTACAGCCTAGGGATAACTCCACTGACCAATCCTCAGATGGCTACTAGAGGTGCTTCCTGGGGCAGTGCTGCATAATGTGCAATGCGGCCATTCAGTGTCTCCACCCTCTGCATGCAGACAATGAACTTTCCTCATAGAGATGCATTGATTCAATGGATCTTTATGAGGAGATGCTGATTGGGCAGGGATGTGTTTGACTTGTGCCCCTGATCTGCCCCCTTGACAGTCTCAGCCAATCCTATAGGAAAGCATTGTGATTAGCTCACATAATCACTTCTGATTATTACAGGCATGCAGGCAGGCCAGGGGCAGAGTCACCAGCTGCAGACTTGAATACAAGTACTATTTTACTATATGTAGAGGGGGTAGGGGTGCTAGATGGTGGTTTTGTTTGTGGTCCTGAATCTTGACCCTATAGTGTTCCTTTAAGCACCTTAGCTGCTGTAAAGATTTATTTGAAGAATGTGACCTCCTTTCTCATTTTGCAAAAAGGTGAGTTAAACTCAATAGGCAGCATTTGCTCAGAGCACTTGCCTTGCAAAAACTTCACATTGAGCTGCATTGGAAAGTCTGGGCAGGGTTAGAAGGAGATGGCTAGCAAAGGCAGCAGACAAGAGATATGCAGGTTTTGCAAACTGTTTTTAAATTTACCACCAATAAAAATGCATGCAAGTTTTCATTTAGGATATATCTACTAAACAATGTTTATTTTAAATTTGGGTAATATGGTGTCATTTTAAGAGTTTAAGGTACATAAATCAAAGAAACATCAAGTTGATGTTTGGCTAGAAGATACCATACTTGTATTTTTTATTTGCACAGATGTAGTAATGCTGATTTGCATATTACATGATAAAGTAATAAAGCATGCTGTCTGGAGATTCATTTTTTTTATTTTTTATTTTGTCATTCTTTATTTTAGTAGTGCATTGTTGTGTACATTTTATAAAAGTATATGCATATGTATAATCAGCATATCATGTCAAGAGTAATGCACATTTTATAGGAAATAAAAGGTAGATCAGCTGAAACACTGTTCCATTAAAAGGACACTATAGATAAAAGGTAGATCAGCTGAAACACAGTTCCATTAAAAGGACACTATAGTCACCAACACAACTTTAGCTTAAAGGGACACTGTAGGCACCCAGACAACTTCTGGGTGCCAACTCTCACTACCCTTAACTCTGCAAGTGTAGTTATTGCAGTTTATCAACTGCAATAATTACCTTGCAGGGTTAAATCCTCCTCTAGTGGCTGTCTACTAGACAGCCACTAGAGGGCACTTACGTGTCTATAGCACAGGTTTTCTTTGCTAGAGCGTCTCTGGACGTCCTTACGCTGTGTGAGGACCTCCAGCGTCGCTCAATTCCCCATAGGAAAGCGTTGAAAGCATTTTCAATGCTTTCATATGGAGAGCTCTAATGCGCGTGCACGGCATTGCTGTGCATGCGCATTAGGTCTCCTCAGCCGGCAGGCGGGATCAGTCTCGCCCACTGGCTGACATAAGGAAGTGGAGGAGCGGCAGCGAGCAGAAACCACCGCTGAGGGACATCGGCTGGGGGTCTCAGGTAAGTGACTGAAGGGGTTTTCACCCCTTCAGCAACCAAGGATGGGAGGTGGGAGGGAGAGGGGACCTGCAGTGCCAGGAAAACGAATTGTTTTCCTGGCACTGGAGTGTCCCTTTAATGTGTATAGATAATGCCTTTGAAGTTTCACTGCTCAAATCTCTGCCATTTAGGAGCAAAATCCCTTTTTGGCTCCTGCAGGGTCTAGTAAACCATTAACAGAGCATGAGATAATACATTTTAAATTAAACAGAATCTGCAATAAAGTGTGAACATTAGATGACTCTTTACAGGAAGTGTTTAGGAAGACTGAATAAGTCACATGTAGGGAGGTGTGACTAGAGCTGCATAAACAAATGATGTAACTTCTAAATGGCAAAGGATTGAGCAGTGAGACTGCAGGGGCATGATCTATACACCAAAACTGCTTCATGAAGCTAAAGTTGCTTTGGCTACTATAGTGTCCCTTTAAAGTCAACCAGGAGACCATATAGATTATTGCAGAGTAGAACTGTATGAGGATGCAAGAGTGAGATACCTCTGGGTGGCTTAATGAGGCAGTTGCAGGTGACCAATAGAATAATAAAGAAAATAGAGATAAAAAGCAAATTACAAAATGGAACACAATTGTAATATTAAAAGGTAGGGGGATGTTTGGGTGACGCATAGCTGTGATGTCGAGTATTGAGACCTGCATCGCGATGCCATGGACTTGGGAATTCTGAATGTCTTAAGTCCTTCCCACTATAGGGAATACAGAAGGCTGTGGTGGTCTGTCACTGCCTGTGCCGGGCAGTCTTTCTCCTACGTGGTGAATACTTCGGGGGGAAATCCCCTGGTGGCCTTTGGTCTAGGAGGGCAAGCTTTGAGTGAGACAGGTAGTTGGAGTAGAGTGACGCTTGAAGGAGCCTCATTCACCTCTTGACTGACGTCCAATCCGTTTCCCTCTCGGGGTAAGGATACATCGGTGCACCGTGCCAGAGTGTCCCAGAATCGGGTAAATATTTCTTCAAACTTCCAGAGAGACTGCTACGGTGGATCAAGGTTAGTAGCCTCGGAGTGCAGACAAGTAGGCCCCGGTGGTAGGGCATGTCTTGTTGAAGCCTGCTCTTCTAGCTAGTTACTGCAATCAGCCTTGGGATGTGACACAAGTGAGTAATGCAGAGTAGTCGGGACCAGGACAACACCCATTGGTCTACAGGGTGGGGGGTAACTGAACAGCATTGGTCTTCAGCGAGGGAAAGGAAATACCCGATGTGGAAAATCGCTCCAGAGAACCCTGATCAGCTACACAGACTAGCAAAACAAGTTTAGGGTTAGAAAAGCGTGATGGGAGTCCGTTATACCGGATAAACTAAAGGTACTTGAGGAAGTTCTCCCAAAACACATCTGACTGCCCCTAGAGTTTTTTTAATCTGTTCTCTGAGGTATCTCCCCTCCCCTCCCCATCACACCAATGCCTTTGCCAGCCTCTTTTTCCTTCTTTAAACCATCGTCGTCCCCTCTGCCATCACTGGCCTATTACATTTAGCCCCTAACTCAATCACTAACCTTTCTTCTCTCATCCTCATTGCCACCAAATTTCTCATACCATCTGCTTCTTCTCATACCATTTTCTTTATTTCCATTTTACAATCTTACTCATTCATCTCCCCCACACCATTTTGTCTACGCTCCTCTCCTAATTAAAACCACCCCCAAATTTTCTGCTTATTTCATATCTCTTCTTCATATTCAGTCTTCTCCTTTTTTTTCTGCATTTTCTTTACATTCCCACTTTCCTTCAGTTAAGCATTAATGACGGAGGCAATTGTTCAAGTTTTGAACAAGTTTCAACAGTTTTTGGTCTATTCAACCATAATTTACCTCTTTTATATTAAGTGCACCCACACTTATTATATATCATTTTTGTTCAGGACAAACGGCTTTCATTTATATATGAGATATAATTTAGTATAAATAAAATCTAAAACAATGTGTGAGAAATAAGAAATGTTGTTGTTTTCAAGTTCTGTATAGCATTTTTACTGTGTCATAATACAGTTAGCTTTTATTGCTATAAAACACATTTGTATGCTGTGATGTTCCACAAGTACAATGCCCACCAATGCACAAGTTTCATGGTATTTTGGAAAGATACAGCATTAAAGAGCTTGCCCATTTCAGATTTTACATATTCAGATTTGTCAGACTGGTTTGCTGGACATAAGTTGCCTTTGAGTTTGTATGGCAGCAAAAAATGAAGTTTACCCCCATTTTGGTATACCTTTTGCAAAAGTAGACCACCCAGGGTATGTCTAGTCTTTTATAGTAGCAAACCCTGACCAAAGTTAGTGCTCATGTGTTTTTTGCATTTTTCATATGAAAACTTCACTTTTACTGATATCATAAGTTAATACTTTTCCAAAACACTCACATTTGTGTTCAGCGATGGCTCACAAGTAAAATAGTACCTCCTATGTACAGGTTTTATGGGGATTTGAAAGATACACATTTCAGTTTCCAGATTGGTTTGCTGGGCTCATGTTGCCTTTTGCGACTGTATGGCAGCCCAGGAATGAGAATTATCCCCATCTTGGTATATTTGCAAAAGTAGACAATCCAAGGTATTCAAATTGGGGTTGTGTTTTTTTTTTTTTTTGCCAGTTTGTCATAAACTCTGGCCAAAGTTAGTGTTCGTATTTGGTTTTAGTTGTTTGTTCCTGTTTTTTGTTGTTTTTTTTCATCTCTCACAAAAACTGCCCTTTCACTGATATCATCGTCATAAAACATTCATATTTTTGTTCAGCCATGTCTTGTGAGTACAACAGTACCCTCCATGTACAGTTTTTATGGGGTTTTGGAAAGTTACAGGGTCAAATATAGAGCTTGCAAATTAAATTCTCTTGAATTTCTGCCTTGGTTGTCAGGCAAGTCCTCCATATATAATTAAGTGTTCTTGCATAGCAAGACCACTAAATATTATCTCACATATATATTATTATTATTATATTAAATTTACCACCCAAACTCCTCCCACAGTTTTTACACATAGACAGTAATATACCGAAACGTGCAGATTGTTCCCGATTGGTGTGCTATTACTTTGTGTAACGTTTCGCCGAATGGTTCACAAAATATCGTTTTTGTGGCGAAATTGGTCCCATAGGAATGAATGGCAAAATGTTCAAAACTAGAGTTGGAGCTGACAAAAGCTGAAAAATCAGGACATGATTTCTAAACTTCCACCACTCCCTCATTTTCAAGCCCACCTACACAAATATCATATCAAAACGTTCAGCTATCCCTGCTGCCACTAAACATGTCCACTGCTAAGCCATAGTCCTGATAGTTTTCACAATATGACCATTTGTTTGCAACTCACATGTTGGTGGAATGTTCGAGGGATTTAAAAAAAATTTGAAAGCTCTTCTCTGCCCTTGCTGTAGAGTGAGTGAACCACACTCCAGCCTTTCTATAGTTACTCCAACCGCACAACAGTTACTCAATCCACTCCACCCAGTTACTCCGCCTACTCCAGTTGTAGACTACTGTTGGAGGCAAGAACACTTCACACAATTTCCACAGAAATTGTAGCTTTTCTAGTTAATAAAATACATTTAGAATGATTGAGATAGAGAGAGAGAGATATAGATATATATATATATATATATATATATATATAGTTCCTGCACTCAAGCTAACACATCCTTAAGTGACCGGGTGCCAGCCCTATGTAGCTAGTGTATCCAGAAAAACCAAGTAGATGGCTGCACTCACGGTTCTGTGTAAAAGTCCAAAGTTTATTGAAGATACATTAAAATCGATGATCCTGATGAAAGTCCTCTAAGAAGGACTGAAACGTTGATCGCGAGTTTATATATATATATATATATATATATATATATATATATATATATATATATAATGTATGTATATGTGTGTGTGTATATATATAATTATATATGTATATAAATTTTTTTGTGTGTGTGTTTTTTCTTCTAAATGTAATTTATTTGTGCATAATTATTTTAGAATATAATCAACGTTGTTTTTCAGGAAGTGTCTAGGAAGGCTGTGCAAGTCACATGCTGAGACGTGTGACTAGGGCTGTATAAACAAAGTAATTTAACTCCTAAGTGGCAGAGAACTGAGCAGTGAGACTGCAGGTGAATGATCCATACACCAAAACTGCTGCAGTAGAGGGACACTATAGGCACCAGACCACTTCATCTCATCTACATCTCCCCTTAGTCCTACAAAGTTAAACATTTCAGTTTTTGAGAAACTGCAATGTGTACATTACGGTAGTAAGACAGGTAGACAGCCGCTAGAGGCGTTTCCAGTAGTTTACCAGGCTCTGGGTCCCTTACATGACACTGGGCACCTTCATGTTCTGCATGAGGACATCCAACCATAGTGAAATCCCATTAGGAAAGCTTTGATTCAATGCTTTCCCATGTGGATGGCTTAATACCCTTGTGCCTTGTGCTGTCAGAGGAGGCGGAGCACAACCCAGCACCGAGGGACATCAGCGCTGTCATTGCCCTCCATTTTGTTCTATTGTTCAATACAGTCAATCAGAAAGCTGTCAGGATGCAAATGTCCCGTCTGGGATACACACAACCACTATATATTTGTACTAGTCACACAGAAAATCATGTTTCAGACATTTAATAGCTCCTACATTTACCTGTTGATCTTTGTACTTTTGATTTCCAGAATGATTTACCTGTATGCACTGATTTCTTCCTTATCTTAATCTAATTTATCATATAGTTTGCACAAGGAGGGTTGGAATGTAGCACTAATTCTGAAATGTGACACCACGAATGATGGCTATCACATAAAAAGCTATTGTTATATTAGGAATGTTTGTTGCATTTATTAACCAGAACTACGTTGTCTATTTTCTTTTAGTAATCTAAAGTTGTGTGAAGATGTCGTCCACGTCACAAAAACATCGGGACTTTGTTGCTGAGCCAATGGGAGACAAGACTGTACAGTGTCTCCCAGGTATCGGTGATGTACTGGGACAGAGGCTCGAGCAGAAAGGGTTTGACAAGGTAATAAGAGTGATATGATGGGGTTAGCTGCTTTTATTTTATTTTTCTTTATTGACCTGTTCAGTTTGGAAAATGACACATTCTGCAGTTCACTCTGATATAATGAATTAAATTAAGAAAACAGATGAAATAATCCTGTTTTAATAAATTATAGATTGTGCATTGAAAAAAATGTTGCAAAAATTATATACTTCCTTTGCAACTTCCCTCTAAATGCACTGTTTAGTAGACCTTTCCCTGTCCCCGTCATAATCATAGATTATTTATTTTTGTTTTCTGTCAAAGATAAATGCTTAACTCAATTCATCTATAACCATCAAGGGGTTCTGGAGACATCATTACAAAATCACAGGAGCAAATGTCAAATCGTTTCTAAATGTCTTCAGAGCTTCAGTATGACATTACTTTCTCCTAATGCATTACTTGCTGTTACATATCTTTAATGTATTTTTAGCCTAGAGTAGTGGTGGCAGGGAGATGTTTACTGTTGGAACTAGGTATCGACCAATTATCGGTCTGGCCGATATTCTGTATTTTCAGCAATATCGGTATCGGCCAATAAAGATACCAATAATGCAGACCTGGTGGACCCGCAGCACACTCTTGCTTACCTTCTCCACGGGTTACCATGGCAGAGTTAGACAATGGAGCTTCTGGGAAGGGAAATAAGAGTGTTGCTGGGCCCCCCAGGGAATGCCATATCCCCACTCCCTGGCCAGGTAAGAAGCAGGGAAGGGGGACTAAAACTATTACACACATTAAATACCTACACAAACACTCTCTGTACAAATCACACACAAACATACACTGCATTCACTACACAAACACAAACTGGGTTCATTACGCAAACACACACTGCGTTAATCATACACACTACACAAACATACACTGCATTCATTATATACACACTACACACGCATTCACTAATCAAATACTCTCACTGCACCCACTACATACACACATATTCTTGAAAACATAAAAAATTCTGACTGGCATGTATATTTTGTGCATTTACCTTAATAAAAAAATGTTTGCAAAAAAATAAATACACATGTTCAGTTAACAGTAGATTTGTGTAAAAATAGTTTATTTTTTTTAAATGGTAAATGTACAGAGTATCGGTAAGTTATCAGCTATCGACCTGAAAGTTCACAGATTATCGGTATCTGCTATTACAAAATCAATATCGGTCGATCCCTAGTGGTTCTGTTATCATTTTCAGTTCCTGTGAATTGTGTTGTAGTTTGTTTACAGTAGTTCAGCATTGCAAAGCTGTTCACGAAATGTGTTTTTATACGTCTCTGCTTTTACAGGCCTATGTGGTGCTGGGTCAGTTTCTCTTATTGAAGAAGGATGAAGAGCTCTTTAAGGAGTGGCTGAAGGATAGCTGTTCTGCCAATGCAAAGCAGTCCCGCGACTGTTGCGGCTGTTTGAAAGAATGGTGCGATGCCTTCTTGTAAATCAGGAATTCTAAGAACTTCAATGCCCCTCCCAAACCGAGCCCCAGGGAAATTCATCATACAGCCGCATCTTTAAGACAAATCTTGACAATGTAGTATGCCTTGATTACATCTTAAATAGTTCTGAAATGTGTTCCACTTAAATGTACAATATGTTTTCTTTACACAGGTGAATCCATTATGACTGACACATTAAACGATTCACATATGTCTAAATGACATGTATTAAATACTCCAAGCACCATAATCACTACAGACCACTGTAGTAATTTTGCTGCCATGAAGGTGCATGCATGGTCCCATGGTAAGAGGTTAGCTTTAGTACACATTGACTGCTTACCTGTGTCACTCTGAAGCTGAAAGTCCCTAAAGTAAAGCTAGATTTTTCTGCTAAAGAAGATGTTGCTGGCGCACAGCATGAACCAAGTAAAACAGTTTATCTTGCTGTGATACAGCACCTAGGCACTCCTGACACCATAACCAGTGCAGTGGGTTCTAGTGGTTATAGTACTTGGAGTGTTCCTTGAAGTATCTGAAGTGAACTTGAAAGTCAGTAGTCCCAATTATTCTTATTTTTAGTGCACCTTCTACAGAATAATAGATATTATCTATATATATTTTATCATGCTGACATTACTCCCCACAATATGTTGTTTCGGTTGGCCCTAGATTTTAACACTGCATTACTGATTAATAATTAACATATTTTTCTTTGCATGTTTTAATAGTTAAATAGTTTATGACTATATGTTTGTAACAGGTTTTAACAGCTGTAGCTAGAATCTGGAAGAAAAACAAAGTATTGAAAATTATTGTCACATGTATACACCGCTAAATTATGAACTATTAATTTTCAGGTCTTTCCTAAAATATTGTGACACAGAATATAATTTAAGTCCATATTTGTCTTCAAAAATATATATCACTTGTTAACAGATTGGGGTTTTGGAAAAATCACAATGCCTGCCTTTTTAAGAATAAAAAAATATTCCTTCTCCATGTTTGCAGTCTACATTTAATATCTAATTTTTTAAATGTCCATGCTGAGGGCTGCAGCTTTGTTTTTACTGATTAGTATAAAGTTAAGTATTAGAGAAGATTAATATTTTTTTCACTAACTTGTTAAGCATATATATTTTTCCTCCAACTCTGAATTACCTCTTTCAGAAATTATTGTACATGTTTTTTTTGTTGGGGGTTCCTCTCCTGTTTTTGATTTTAAAATAAAAATTGAACTACATAATGAGTTTGTTAATTTACTCTGTTTTGCATATATATTATAAACAATACTCCTCTGTACTGACTATTCATTTTTTTGATCCCTTAAAAAAATATGATTAAAGGTTCACTCCAAACTAAGTATTGGTACTTGAAGTACTATACACACACTTTAAATTGCTTATATAGAGAGGTGGGTGAAGACAAGGAAAATATAGACCTTTTTAAAATAATTTTTCCTCCTTGTATATTATAGGAACCTTTGACAAGAGTTATCATTAATTGTACATTTTCAAGCTGGACAAAAGTGATAAGTTGTGTCCCTCAGAGTTGTGTTCTGGGACTACTTGTATGATCTTGAAATAAGCATCAGGAATGTGGAGTTTTGCTATTCTTTTAGCCCCGCCGTGGGGTTTTTTGGTGCAGTGGAAGGAAAGCCCTAGTACAGGGATAGGCAACCTTCGGCACTCCAGATGTTTTGGACTACAACATAATGCTCTTACACCCATAATGCTGGCAAAGTATCATGGAAGGTGTAGTCCAAAACGCCTGCAGTGCTGAAGGTTGCCTATGCTTGCCCCTAGTACATCGCCAGGGATGAGAAGGTGTGAGAAGCAGTAGCCGCACATCACAAGTCACAGAGCTTATGGCTGCTGGAAAAGAGCATATACATGCTGCCAACACTCTGTGCATGGAGGGAAGAGGACAAGCTGCAGGCCTACTTCTGGGCTGTAAAGGCTGCTGGTAATATGAAATATGCAAAATGGCTGTACTGTATGAGGGTCAGATGTAGATGGCTGTGTGTGTATACGCGTCAAAATTGCAGTGTGTTGGTGTGTGTGCAGGTTAGTGAGGACAAGGTTTGAACAAACAAATTCAACAATTTATACTTTAATTTTTGATAGTATTATGCATATATAATACCAATAGACAGACAAGTAGATTGGGCTACCACTTTAGTCTCTAGGACAAGTAGTTTAAAAAAAAAAAAAAATATATATATATATATATATATATATATATATATATATATATATATATAATATAAATTCCACACTGATAGCCATATTTCAGTATTTGCAGAAGAAACAAGCCTAAATTAGGTAATACTGTGTGAGCAGGATATTGCTTTGAGGCAGATGGATTTATATAGATTAAAGGAAATTTAATGTAGATAAATACAGAGTTATGCACTTCAGGGTTAAAAATACACAAGTAACTTACACCCTACATGGTAGTGAATTGGGGATAATATGAGAATCTGGGAATTGTCATAGACTACAAACTAGATAGCAATGTCAATCAGCTGTTGCTAAAGCCAGTGAGGTGTTGTCATGCATTCATTCTTAGAATACAAGGGGGTGGAGTCACCCCCACCCAGCGTTGAGAGCACTGATGAGACGTCACAGGCTGTCTGCAGATCCCCCCCCCAAGGACTTGCACAGGAGCCAGGACACAAGGTAACATGACATAACTCCCCCTTGAGAAATGCCCAAAGAAACATAGAATGTGGCGGCAGATAAGAACCATTCGGCCCATCTAGTCTGCCCAATATTCCAAATATTTTCATTAGTCTCTGGCGTTATCTTATATCTAATGTTGCTGAACTGCCGGTTCGTGTGGTTCCCGCTTGTAATATGTGTGTCCTCTCTGTATTTCGTTTATTGTGCCTGCTCCCCGTTCAGGAGTGCTTCCATGAAGGGAATTCATTTACCTCCCGAACGGGGACCACCCCCATACCTCATTTAGAATGTTAGTATAGAATGTTCTCACCTCGCAACAAAAGTGTCAAAACCGCAAGGGAAGCAATTAATGAGTGCTTCCCTGGGTGGCCGCTATTCGTACTTGCGAACTCCACCAGGTGGAGCATTTGTGGATTGTTTCCCGACTTGTTCATATCCCGAACGAGGGCCTCCCCAGTACCCCATTAGAACGTTCAATTATTCAGAACAGTCGCACCCACAACATATTGAGTGCTCCCCTGAAAGGCCTCCATCCAGGGGTGGGGGGGGGGGCATTCGTACCCCGGAAGGAGAAGCTTCCCTTGTCTGTGTTTCACATCAGGACATCGCAAATGGATCGTAGTCGATCGGGGGACCGAGGCGAGTATCACTGAGATTGGTGTGGGCACAATTGAAGCACTGGCGAGTTTAAGCCCAAGGGACAGAGACCAGCTCTTTTCCTGCAGGCAAGATTTTCTGTGCTTTCAAGGCGTTTGCAGAATCAGAAGAGGGCATTGACGACTTTCTGCAGGACGTTGAGCGCCTGTGCCTGCTACGTAAAATTGCCCCAACTGTCTGACATTTTGACCGGGAAGGCAGCCGATGCTTACCGGGCCGTGCCCGAGGACGACCTGCGGAACTATGCCGCTGTAAAGCAGGTCCTGTTGACGAGGTATGCCATTACCCCAGAGGCCTACCACTAAAAGGTCCGGGAGTTAAAGAAGGGGCCTCAAGACTCGCACGCAAAGTGGGCTTGCCGCCTGAACAAGGCAGCCCAAAGCTGTATGCCAAGACGCCCGAAGAAGTCCTTCAGTTGTTCCTGCTGGAGCATTTCTACGATGGGCTCCCCACCGAGGAGCAAGACTGGATAAGATACCGACAGCCCAAAATGCTCACCCAAGCAGCCCAGAGAGCCAATGAGTATGCGGATACTCAGTGACCCCAATGCCCCACCATCATCCCGAATCAACGACCACCCATCCGCCTGGCCCCCAGTTCACCCTGCCGGGCACCAACCCTCTCCGAGGTCCACCTGCCCTGATACCACCCCATAGGACCCCCAGCCAGCCAGGGATTGCCCTCAGCTGAGGGACCAATCCTCGTGGATCCGTCTGGGGCCCGCTCCTGCGCCGCGGGCCACTGACCACTGTTATCAGGCAGGCTCCACGTATGTCCCTAACCCCAATGAGGAAGCCTGGACATCCCTACACAAAGCTAATCCCTTCAAGTGGCAAAATATAACCGAGATCATCACCGGCAACCAGTCCAGCTGAACGGGCGACCCGCACAGGGCCTACGAGACTCCAGAGCCACGATGACCCTAGTGGAACACTAGCTGGTCGCAGAAGACCAGAGGATCCGTGGCTGTCCGGGTAGCAGTGCACTGTCTAGTACTGTAGTCAGGGACAAAACGTCTGTAGTACCCTGCCGTCCCCAAGAAGGCTAACACCTGGGTCTTTGTGATAGGTGTGGGCCAGTTAGCCACTGCCTCTACCTTGGCTGGCTCTGGTCTCTGGCTCCCACACCCCACTCTGTGACCCAGATACTGTACGTCTGCCATGCCTAGATGGCACTTGTCTGGTTTTAAGGTCAGGCCAGCTGCCTGAATCTTGTCCAGAACCACCCCTACATGTACCAGGTGTTCCTCCCAGGACTCACTGTAGATCACAATGTCATCCAGGTATGCACAAGCAAATTCCTGGAATCCATCGAGGAGCCTATCCACCATACGCTGGAAGGTAGCCGGGGCATTCTTCATCCCAAATGGCATGACCTTAAACTGGTACAGGCCAAAGGGGGTGACAAAGGCCGACTTAGGGACAGCATCCTCGGCCAGGGGAATCTGCCAGTAGCCCTTACACAGGTCTATGGTGGTCAGATAGCGTCCCCTGGCAATACGATCTAGTAACTCATCTACCCGAGGCATCGGGTAGGCATTAGTGGTGGTCCTCTCGTTGAGCCGCCTGTAGTCCACACAGAATCGGGTGGTCCCATCCTTCTTAGGTACCAAGACCACAGACGAGGCCCAAGGGCTGTCAGAGTGTTCGATGACTCCATGCCGAGTCATCTCCTGTATCTCCTTCCGCATTCCTTCCCAAACTGCTTCAGGGATACGGTAGGGGGGCTGTCGTAAGGGATTCTGTCCGGGAGTCTCTACCTTATGTACAGCTAAGGTGGTGTAGCCGTGCTCTTGGGAGAACGTCGCCTGCTTCTCCCACAGAAGCTGTTTTGCCTGTACCTTCTCTGTATGGCTTAACCGGTCCCCTAGCTGTACAAGATTAGTGAGGTCAGTCTGGGATTCCCTTTCTAATAAGTCGGGCAGGGGTTAGTTCTCTGGGTCATCTGCAGCTGGGGCGCACACTGCAGCCACATCTTCTGGTCTCTCCTGATACTCCTTCCGCATGTTCACATGAAAGGACCGCTGAATCCTTTCATCTGCACAGCTGGCTATAAGGTAAGTAGCATCACACACCTTATACAAGCCCTGCCAAGATGCTTGCATCTTGTTCGCCTTCACAGGTTTGAGCACTAAAACCTTCTGCCCAACCTGGAAGACCCGCTGTCGGGCACCCCGATCGTACCACCTCTTCTGTTTCCCCTGGGCGGCCTGGAGATTCTCCCTTACCATTAGGGACAGCTTCTCCATGCGGTACCGGAGTGGACATTTGGCACTATGGGGGTCCCTTCCTGCTCTGTCTCTCCCTCCCAGTGTCCTCTGATGAGATCTCGGGGTCCACGGACCTTTCTCCCATAGAGTAGCTCGAAGGGAGAGAACCCAGTAGATTCCTGGGGCACCTCTCTGCATGCAAATAGCAGATGAGGCAGGAATCGCTCCCAGTCTTTGCAGGTGTCAGTAAAGGTCCTCAGCATCTGCTTGAGGGTGCCATTAAAGCGCTCGCAGTGACCGTTAGTCTGTGGGTGATAAGGTGAACTAAGCAGCGGTTTAATGCCGCACACCTTCCACAGTTGCTGGGTGAGCACAGCGGTGAACTGAGTCCCCTGGTCGGAGAGAATCTCCTGAGGGAACCCTGCCCTAGTGAAAATCTTAACCGGAGCATCAGCTACTGTCTCTGCCTCAATATTTGACAGCGCTACTGCTTCTGGATAACGAGTGGCATAGTCCACCACGGTGAGAATATACTTCTTACCTGATGGACTAACCCTGGCCAGTGGACCCACAATGTCAACGGCTATGCGGGAAAAGGGTTCCCCAGTGATAGGCATAGACACATCATGCCCAATCTGCAGAATCTCCTGCCGGTATTTTGCAGGCACCACCAGCTGTCGGTTCTGCGGAGGGGTATTCTTTTTCTGGGAAGGCTTGGGAATCCTATACAGCCTATCCCCCACCCACTCATACCGCTCACCATCTACTCCCTCTTCTCCCGCATCTGCCCTAGCCCTATACTTTGCCAGGGTTGGATCCATCCTGAGCGCCCCATACCACAGACCAATGGCCTATGCGAGCGTCTCAATAGTACGTTGAAGCAGATGATCTATACCTTTGCGATGACTCGCAAGGATTGGGAGAGATTCCTGACACATCTCCTGTTTGCTTATCGGGAGGTGCCCCAGGAATCTACTGGATTCTCCCTGTGCGGGCGGCGGGTTATGGGCCCCCTAAAGCTGGTATGAAAACACTGGGAGGGAAAAGGGGAATGGGGAACAGGAAGTGACCCCCATTGTCCCCTATGTACTGGAGTTTAAGAACCGGATGGAGGAACTCACTCACCTGGTACGTGTGAACCCCCAGGTGGCCCAGAGACAGACAAGATTAGGGAGGCAGGATTGACCCTAAAACCCAGCAATTACCACATAGGGATGGCCAAAGTTCAGTACCTGTGTGACAGATCCATCTGTATGACTGGTGTTGCTGGTTTGTCTAATTTGCCTCCCTTCGCACAATCCCCTTGTCTGGCTCAGGAGACAATGGTAGACTGCTGCGGTGGAGTTTGGCCCTACAACCATATAACTTCACCATCAGCTACCGGCCTGGTAAGCAGAACGGGAATGCTGATGGATTGTCCCGGCAAACTGACGTCCCTACCACCTCCTAGTCC